TTGTTGCTATGGATTTTCAGTGAGAACGGTAGCAGGCAAAAATTGTAGCGGAACAAAACCACAAAACAGACTATAGTATATTAACGAAAATATGATGTTTTTATTTGTTTGGTGGTGAGTAGGTGTGAGCCCAAGGTGTGCTTTGAAAGCCTAGGTCGGAATTCGTATTTCATTAGTTCCTTTCTCTCTCTCTCTCGCTCTGTTAAGTCTTGCATTTTTATTCGTCGGAAAAAATTTAAACGTATTAGTAAATGTATGTGTGCATTGACGGACAAAATTCCCGGATATAAGATTTGAATATTTTCCGAGTTTTATTTGTTCGTATGTTATTCTTCTAGATCACCGGAGAATATAGAGAAACTATTGTGTGATTATTATCGTGCGATTAGCACTAGCCATTCCATTCCCCAAATCTCTAATTTTGTCACCGAAACCGAAAAAAAAACAAATCTATACAAGATATTTAAGCTTATTTCGGATGTTTTGTATTTCTTTTGCCAATTAGGGATCAATAGTTGGTATTCTCCATTATTGTATGTGTCTCTGTTTTATTACAATTTTAGTCCCAATATAGTTGCGTGTGACTCAAATGTTAAAAAAAACCAAATAGCATTTGGGCTTCCGCATCAAAAGACAACATTATACAGTAAATTGGTTTGCGATTGTTTGCAATTTGTGCATCGAACAATTACAACGAATCGTCAAATAGAAAATATTTACACTTTTTTGGATTGAAAAACCAACATGGGAAATTGCTTACAATAGAAAAGTGTCAAAAAATACACTAATACGAAGAAGGCAAAAAAGTGATAATTTCATTCATACCAAAATTGAGTTTGAATGCCGACAATTCCTAATCTTATGTGTACGATACAAACACTGACAGGCAAAAAAAAATATTCAAGACAATTCGTTTAGATGCTAAAAGTTAGAACCACCGAAATACGCATTTGGGTTTAGACGATTGTTGTTAAACGATACAAAATTAATTTGAACATATTTTTGGTGCATTTTTCATGACATTTTCCGAACAATGTGCCGAGAATTGAATGCTCAAACAGACCTCATACTGTTAATAAATGTATTCGACACCCGCTACACAATGCAAACAAATAAGATAAACACACTGAATGAAATAAAATAAACATATTAATATCAATGAAAAGCAACCCAGCTTTGTTGCCGAGATTGGATGATTTGAGTGAGGCCTGGTGCGGGAGATTCATATTTGTTTATTTATTTGGGAATATTGAGCTGTGTTACATCTAATTATATTTGAATGAATGGCTTGTAAATAACAGTTTTATTGGCATTTGGGGTAGTTTTCGAAACGACTCACAGCATTTTAGTAGGAAATTTTGCCATTCAGTCGCAACAATTACAGCGTGCAACAATTGATATAGTTATTAACTGTTTTTTTTTTTAACACAAGTCGCAATGTTTCGCAAAACAAAAGTTTGAGGGTGGAAGTTGCTCACCTATGCCCAAAAGCAGACTTAAAATGAGTTTTTTTCAAAAAGAATAGATACGAAAAAAAAAACGAATAAAATCATGACCTGAAATAATATTCTAGTTCATTCATATAGTGATGAAAATATTTTCAAAACTATTTTAATAGAGTCTCTGATTTAATAGTTATGTTCAATTTAATCGCTTGGAATTATTCGGTCATTCATTTTGAAAAATTAATGTCTCATCCCAATCAAATGGAAATAGTTTTCAATTAAACTCTTTTCATTTGATTTTTTTATAATGAAAAAGGGTATTGAACTTGGATACAAACATGCATCAGAGAATGTAAAAAATGTGTCTCCTCCACAATGTCACATTTGAATAAACGATAACACCGCTTCCACGCGATTTTCAAGTATACCATGAAGAAGAGCTTGATATATTTTCACGAAAAACGAAACAATGCTATGCATTTTTAAATACAGACAAGCCTTGTTTAAATACAGTTTGGTTCCAAAAATCGTTAAAACGACCTTTTTCTATTCACTTTTTTTTCTGCTCATTCAAACACGAAAGGCATTTAATTTTGATTTATTTTCCTTCCGTGTTTTTTTTACATAAGTGTCGTTATGGAAATCGCATGGCACAAAGTGGTGCAAATTTGGCAACGCTTGTATAGAAAAAAAGAATTGAATTACTGTTATGGAAAGTGAAACGAATATATCACGCTTCAACTGTAAGGTTGTTATTTGTGAACAAGAGCCGTCTGTATCGGAAATAGTACCGTCGGCAAACCCCTTACATTCAAGCATTCACAATGTTCAAAAAAGATACTATTATTGCGCAAACCAAAAATCATATTTATATGCGATTAATTTACCTATTGATTGCTTACATAAATTCTAACATTTTTACCGACCTTATTATATTTCGCATTGATTCATTAACCACGCCTATTAACCATGTCATTTACAGCGAATATTTGTAGGTCGATAAAAATATTCAATGTTTTTTTCTTGTTTTTCTTTTAAATTTCTTGAAATACTTACTCATATTCGGTAGCTCCATAATCAGGTGGAATTAATTGCCACGAATCGTCATAAAACTCAAAACCATTTTGCGCATTCGACATCATAATTAATTTACTGTCTATTTGCTATACTTTTATTAGTATATTTTACAGAAAAATTATCATCGAAGCAGTAAAAAAAAATGTTAATCAGTCTCACAATTTCAAATACTATCAAAACTGCTTTAGTTTTAAACGAATGATGAATAAATTTTTGAAAAAAATTAAATTGATGGAAAAAGTAGAATGTGCAACTGAAAATGACCACTGACAGCACACTGTTTTCACCTGAAAATAATGTCTTATACACTGGTCCAAGACAATTGGAAATTCAACGGGTATAATCGATAATTGCCGTTATCGATTCGAAGAAAAAAAAACATCGGATGCGATTGTATTAGGTGATAATAAGTTCCAGATAAATTTCATTGTAATGTCGTGAATATGTTGTAGTAGTTGGTGATATGGTAGCGAATTGATTGATAAGAATTTTCTGTTGTTTGTGTTCTGAAAAATTGTGAATAAATAGACGAAATCAAGTCGCAATGTGATTTTGCTTTGACTTTTTGGTTGTTTTCTTTCCATTCACGGTGTATTTTAGTTGAGTTTTTAATTTTTCAAGCAATGAGTTATTCGAAAAAAAAGCACACATATCAAATGCGCACACCGTGTATAAACACGTATAGTTCTTATCAAATTACTTGCGCCAGCCCAGCGGTACAAAAATTGTACACATCAATTCAGATTCGTATGTGGTGTTTGATTATCATTCTCCATTGTCGCACCGTTATGCCGTTTGTTTGGTCAAAGTCTATGAAGAATACACAATTTTTGATCGTATTTTATATCATTTATTTTTCTTTTTGATGCAATTTCAATTGAAAACGAATTAATCGGTATTAAAATACAATGCATTACATTAACCTTAACATTATCGATATAATGGTGGTATCATCAATTATTATTCGAGCTGAAATTTATTTATTTTTATGCTGATTATTTACATAAAAAATTGTTTTAGTCAATTATCGTGATTTTTATGCTGATTATTTACATAAAAAATTGTTTTAGTCCACCACTGGTCAAGTAAAACGTTTTGCTTTTCTGACATGATTTGAAAATTGGTTATTATCATGAAGCAATAACATTGTATCCGTTAAAACAACCCATTTTTTAATCTTATCAGTTTTAAGTACAAATACTGTCTTATTTCTCACAGTTGCAAATCAATTGTGGCTCCTTTTTTATTTATGCATAAACTGTTTAGTGTAGACTCAGCCATTAAAAAATTAAACTTTCAGCCTTATAACATTTTATCTACTCTTGTACATTTTATATGCAATACAATTATTTGGTAAAAACAGTTTAACAAATTATTGAAATTATTAAAAAAAAAAATTTTGGATCAGAGCTACAAGTTACATTTACATAAAATGGGGCCGGCGGTACTGATTTACATACATTTCATATTGGAATATTTGTTCAATTGCATTGATTTGGTTCAATCAAGCAGTTCGATTTCTCTTGCACATCTAATTATTCGAGTTTTGAGTTCCATACATTGAAATGGTGATGAAGAAAACATTAAAAGTTGTAGCTTGAATGGAAATCGATATATCAGATTGATTTGACATATGTAATTGCATACACTAATATCTAATAATATGAACCATTTAGACATTAGTTCGTTACATTTTTTTTATTTTCCGTCCATATCGTTTTTGATTTGTGTGGTCAAATCCAACGATTCATCCAAAAACTTTAAATATTATTAATCGAATTTAATGGCAGTAGAATTTTATGGGTTGGCATAAAAATAGTCATGAAATTATTGGTATCCGCTGAAAAGAGAGTTTGATTTGTTCAATCAATCGCATCCTTATATTTGCTGAAGTGCAGAACCAAGAAATTTATCGTGGTTGTGCAGTCAGTGACTGCCAGTCACATAAAATGTAATTTCATTTAATTACATCTCACATTAACGTACTATATGTCATTTGTTTGAAAGCAGCTACATATTCGTTTTTTTGCAGTACCATTCTCGGTTAATGTTTCTCATCGAATTTGTTGTGTTAGCACTTTGCGTGCTGCACGTCTTCTATTTGTCCATTGACGTGGTGAGTGGACGGCAGAAAAAAAGTGCTGCTATGTTTGATAACGAGACTATAAAAAATGTCTTTTTATGTGCAAGCCCAAGTGCATTCCTATATTTTTACAAATAATATTTTAATATTTTCCCCCTGGACGGAAACAGCGATCCAATAAAAACTTTATTTGTATTGAGGATAAAAAATTATTTTCATTTTTTTTTTTTTTTTTTTTTCAAAAATGGGCAACAATTCATAAATTTCACTTTAAAAATCGGTTCCGATTGAAAGTGCCGGTTGAAAGCTCGACTATTGAACTATGAACGAGCCATTATTTCAATGACATTTCACTCGATTCTGTTGACATTTAAACGTCATACAATCAAAAACAATGATTCAATAAATTTGATTACCATCAAAACTTATTGAGATTTCAAACAAAGTGACGACGAATTTTGCGGTGTTAAAGAAAGAAAGAAAAATAGTAATATAAAAGTAATTGAATATGGCTTCTGATGAAAAAACTACACACGAGGCATATACAGTCTCTCAACCAACTTCGCTTCCAGTTCAAATCGAGTCATTGGCTTGTTATGGTTTGTATTGAAGATACGCCCTGCAAACGCAAACAAAAGCGTATATCTTCGGCTGATTTGTCTAATTTTTATGCTCTATTTTCAGATAACAATGTGTTGTTGGGAACGCGCCAGGGCCATTTACTTTCTTATGCAGTTGAGCAAAATCTCAACGAATGTAAAATGGACCTTCAACTATTACAATATGATAAAAATTTCAGTAAGAAGCCCATCACGCAAATCGACGTCATACCCGAATATCAATTGCTCTTCAGTTTGACCGATGGACTTGTTTCCATTCATGACATCGCTCGTCATAATTTTCCAGTTGTACATTCCAATAGTAGTACAAAAGGTGCATCATTATTTGCTTTGAATGTTAACCGATCCACATCGTTAACCGGTGAAATGGCATTAGTTGTACGACTTTGTGTAGTTATTAAACGACAATTGCAATTTTGGTATTGGAAACATGATAAATTACTTCCATATCGTGAAGCTATTCAACTGGATGACACACCAAGAGCAGTAGTTTGGTTTGAAAATTCAGTTTGCATTGGTTTTAAAACGGATTACATCGTTTATGATGTAAGTTTATGGAATATGTTTGGAATAATGATTGAAATTATTCAAATAAATGATTTTTTATTTCAGATTTCATCAGAAAAACCACAAAAAAATGAACTGTTTCCAACGAGCTCGTCGAAAACAATTGACCCCTGTATTGAAATTATCAACGAAATGTTTGCTGTTGTGAAAGATGAGTTTCTCATCGCTGTCGATCCGAAAAGCTCAATTTTGCCTGACTCCAATATGGCGAGTGGAAAAATGCTTAAGAATCAAGTGACTCAAGACAATGCAAATAAATCGTTCAAGTCTTTTGCTTGGTCTCATCCAGTTAATCAGCTTGGTAACGTTTTATTTACCGTGAATTCTGCATTGTAAGTGGTTTTGTAACATTTTGATTTTATTGTGGTTAAATATTCAGTATGGGATGCACCGTACGCCATTGGACTACTACCCAACGGCGTGGAAGTTCGCGTGTTGGATGCATCCGGTTCGATGAAAGACACTTTCATTCAAAGCCTATCAGAAATACAAAAGGCAAGACATTTGGTTAGATCGAAAAAGGGATTGCTTTTTGCCGCATCGGTTACACAGCTCTATTGCATTCAAGGAGTTGATATACAAAAGCAGTGTCAAAATCTTTTGCAACACAAGAAATTTCAGTTAGCTTTACAGTTGACGGTGAGTAGATGAATTGAAAATCGTTCCATAAAATGGTTAAATTTATTTTTCTTTGGTAAATAGGAATTATCGTATGAAAATTCTGAGGAAAAAGTGAAAGAAAAACATCGCATTCAAACGTTGTACGCTATCGATCTGTTCTCTAATAAATTTTTTAAGGAATCAATGCAAGAATTCATAAAATTAGAAACTGATCCATGCGATGTCATTCGATTATTTCCAAACTTATTTCCAAAAGACTCGGTCGCAACGAAGCTAAATCAGTCTTCATTGGCAAAGTCAAGTCTACCGATTTTAGATGGTAAAGATTTGGAAATGGCTCTATTGGCATTGATTGAATACTTGACCGAAGTTCGATTTGATTTGCTGCGCCAAATGCAGAACACAGATAAAAAGAGTTCCAGCAAAAACTATTTACTCTCAATCATCGATACAACCCTTTTGAAATGTTACTTGCAGGTGCGTATACAGCATTATCATCAAAGATTAGTAGATATATAAAATTGCTCCGATTTAATTTCAGACGAATGATTCACTAGTTGCAAGTGTGATTCGTATGAATCATTGCCATTTGGAAGAGTCCGAAAAAACACTACAACAATATGAAAAATATGGCGAATTAATCATTCTCTATCAAACAAAAGGCCATCACAAAAAAGCCTTACAATTGCTTCAAACACAAGCTGAAGTCCCAAGTTCGAGTCTATTCGGTCATGAACGTACTGTTCAGTATCTTCAACATCTTGGACAAGCCAACAGACATTTAATATTTGAGTTTGCTAGTTATGTCATAGGTAAATGTTGTTATCATTGGATATTGTAATTCATTTATTTCAAAAACAATCTTAAATTTCGTTCCCAGAGAAAAATCCCGAAGATGGTCTGCGTATTTTCACCGAAGATGTACCCGAAGTTGAGAATTTGCATCGTGCTGAGGTGCTTGACTATTTGCTGAAAAACCACAAGGGTCTTGTTACACCGTACTTGGAACATATCATATTTGTGTGGAACGAAAAGAAGGCTCTATTCCATAACATATTGATTCAACAGTATCGCGAAACATACAATGAATTGCGTGCCGACATAAAAAATAGCCCAACTGGCAGTGATGTCAAGTGAGTGCATGTTTTTAGAAATGATTCGTTCACAAAAAAAATAAGACATGTTTACTTTTTATCACAGACAAAAAGAAATTGCCAGCCAAAATGTCCGGGACAAATTGATTGATTTTCTCAAAAAATACGATCACTTGCATCCAGAAACAGTTTTAAAGAATTTTCCTGAAAACGATTTGTTTGAAGAGCGCTCAATCATCTTGGGAAAACTCAAGCGCCACGAAAAAGTGTTGGCAATTCATGTTCAAATTCTTGGTGATGTAACGAAAGCAGTAGATTATTGTGTTAATGTGTATAACTCTGATCCGGATGCAGCAAAAACTATATTCATCCAGTTAATCGAAATACTTTTAAAGCCGCCAACAACACCACCATACACAGGGGTCGATTTGCATCCAAGATGCCTTCAACCAAATGTGGATGCAGTGTTGGAGCTGCTCGAGCAACATGCCACCAAATTTAATCCGTACTCTGTTTTACAAATTCTACCCAGTGAAATTCCCATCATACGTTTGCGACCATTTTTGGAAACGGCTTTGCATCATTCTCTCGAACGTCGACGCAACAATCAAGTATTAAAAGGTTTACTTTACGCATCAAATCTTCAGGTATATAAATGAATTGATTCTAATTTGAAACAGATTTGATATATCATTCCATTCAATCCTTTTTTCCAGCTTCAAGAAAAACGTATGCATGTTGAATCGCGAAGCGTTTTAGTATCGGAGTTTAGTGTTTGCCCCGTTTGTTCCAAGAAATTCACAAATCAAAGTGCATTCGTTCGACAATCAAACGGAACAATTGTACACTATTCATGCCGCGATCGCAATTATCTCAATTAAATTCACATCAATAAGAAATGAATTAACATTTAAAAATTATAGTTAGTTAAACAAAAAATGGTTATTAAATGATTATTTTAATTTGTGCATGTATTCAAGATTTTATTTAGATAAATGTAAAATAAATGTCATGATTTAAAACATTACATTAGTCATCGGAAACGCATAAATTAATATTTCCACCAGATGATAAGCCTCCCAAAAAGACCTCTTCATCGCCGCGAATTGATAGAGGTTGATCGGGTTTGAGTACGCTTTTGTCTTTGATCATGCCGGTACGCTTCCAACGTGAGCCTTGGCAATTGCTGCAAGTAATTTTGGGTATTCTAAATAGACTGATGGTTCGATTTCCACAATCTTCGCATTCAAAGAAGCGTTTTTCAGCATCAACCACTTTCAATGTATGCCTTTCGTCTTTGCATCGCTGTGCGGCCGAGAATGCCTTATATTTACATTGTAAACAAATGACTGCTTTACACTCCATTTTAGTTGTATTCAACATTTTCTCTTCCATTGCTTCTTTTTTCTCTAGTTTATTGAAATACTGATCTTTGACGCTTATTTCGTGCGCTTCGATTAAATCCGTGTGCGCCGAACGCGCTGCAATTAATTGTTTTATTCGCTCGTTTTTAAATTTTTCCACTTCTTCGGCCAGTTTTTGTTTCTTTTGTGCATTTTCCTCCTCCGATTCAAGAGCACTGTGGGCACGCTTTTTACCAGCATCGGTGCCTCTATATTTAACGAAATTCGGATTTGATTTTTCAATTGGTTTTTTCTGTAAAATGGCAGCTGCTTTTGCTTTTGCCAAATCGTTTCCAGTCTTCGATGTTTTTCCAATTGTAAATGAAAAACTTTCACGGCTCAAAGACGGTGCATTTCTTAATGGCAACGATTGATTAGTATTCTCTTTTGAAACGATCGTTTGGCTTGAATTTATGGATGAAATGTCAACGTTCAATGACTTCAGTCGATCCAAGTCTTTCATTCGCTGAGACGAATTCGACTCTACTGAATCGGCAATTTTACTGCATCGCGTTTTGTTTGCTAAATAATTTGGCCTGCCTGCACAAAATGAAACGAAAACGAAAACATTTTTATCAAAATGTGGATTATTTGAAAATGTACATTAGTTTAACTTATTATTACCTGTAGTTGCTGCACCTAATGGGGATTGTTTAAAAGTGTCCGAGAGTGACATTAAACGTTGTTGATCTTTTGCTTTGAGCTTGTGGCTTGGCTTTGCCGGTTCTGCGACAAACGATTTTCCACCGTAAAAGACTTCACTTTTTCCCAAAATTTTATTTCGCAATGCTTGTAAACCTCGACCACTTGTTGCCGATTGCAATTCAGATCGACCGGACATTTTCCCATATTCTTGCTTCACGTGATATACACAAAACTCGCATAGACTCAAGTTCACGATGGCAGTACATGGTTCGCCGTTCTTCTTCTTCGATTTACATATTCCAAAATCTTTGCTTCGTCCCAAAATCATAACACGTTGTGCACTGTCAATCGATAGTGAACTCTCTCCGTTGTTGTCTTTGCGCGAAAATACTTGTGGATTCAAAACTGCAATGATCATGCCTTGAGCAGTTTTCCACAGTTCCTTGTATGCAGATTTAAAAAGAAACAATGACACCGTTTTCATGTCACCTTTCAAGTCACTCAATCGCCAGATTACATATTGTGAACCTGCATTACTTGTCGAAACAGGACCTTTATTAACGATAACACCGCTTATGCACCAATCCTTCGATAAATCTGCGGTGGTCAAATGATGTTGGAGGTATCTTAATTCAACAGCTTGACGTCCTAACATTCGTTCACGTAGTGTTGTACTTGAAATTAATGGTTGAATTAATCGCAAACCAAAAATTGGATCGGTATAGATATTTTCCAACTTTTCGGGAGCCTTGGCCGGCACTGGTGCTTTGGTCGCTGCCGGGTGGCCAATGGACGTTGCCGCAAGGTTTCTAGTTGACGTAAAGTTCGATTGTCGCAAGTTTCTATTGACCTCATTTCCAACAATGGAATCCATTCGGACCGCATCGTTACGTTTTAGCATGGTATTTATATCTCGTCCATATTCGTTGTATTTTCTTTCGAAAAAGTTTTGTAAATCTTCCTCATCCGATGAATCGTACGCTTCTTCAGCTAATTTTACCGTTGCATTCGCCTTTTCATCGGCCACCTGAGTGGATAATACTCCATTATCCAATGGCTTTTCTTGCTGTTGTTGCTGATCCGTTAGAGTAGCCGAAGTCGATGGAAGGTCTTCATTCAGAGTTATTTCTCCTTCGTCGGCTGCAGCTTTTAAAAGTTCTGCCAATTCATCCGAATCTGAGTCAAAATCCATCGTTTATTTCAACACCTTTAATTTTTTTTTTTTGCTGATTGTGTATGTTGTCCAGTTCGGTTTATTTTTTATACTATCCATGAATGCAAAACAAACTACACAAGTGTCAAATTTAGCGCCAATTTTTTTTAAAGTTCTATAGAGGGCACCACGAACACTAGAATAGGCCTTTGACAAAAAATAGTATAATTAAGAAAGTATCTTAAAAACCGAAATTCTTCGTGAAATTCATACAAAAAAGTTTTAATTTAATTTAAAAATAGAATCGAAAAAAATAATTATATTTCAAAATGTGACTGAAAATGTGTCAATTATCGTGATACAATCGGTTAAGTAAAGGTTAGCTGACAGATATTCTTATTTTTGACAGTATTATCATTCAATCAATGCACTGCACGCATCGAGTTTCATAACACTCATGTATAATAACACCAGAAAAGATCCATGCAAAAAACAGGCGTGTTTGATACAAAAGTGTTTAAAAGGTATGCCGAAATTTGTGAAAATCATGATTTCATTGTAATGAAACTGATAAATTACCATTTATACCCGCAGAAAATAATTATCAAGAGTCTGCATGTGAAGAGGTTTTGGAGTTGATGCGTGAATGCTGTCGAAAATACAAGGGGAAATCCATTTGCTGTGAAGGTATCGATATAGAACCCACTAAAAAGACATCAGAATCGGCAAAATCAGTAAAAAGTTTGTAATTTCTTATATCAATGTACGAATAGTAATCCATTGAAATACATTTATTTTTATACCTTGTTTAGAAAATTAGATGGATCAAAATACAAAAACACAAACTAGAACGCGCCGGCAGACCTATATTATTCCAAAGCGAAAATTTGCCCAACGCTATCCATTTATAACAATTTGGGGTTCAACTATTGGTGCTTTGCTTATATTTTTCTCTCGTCCCATCTACGACGCCTTCATTCGCGAAGACGTTATTCACGATATACCAGCTGATAAGCGCCGTGAAGCTATCTTAAAAGCATGGAAAATATAAAACGAGCCCGTCAACGATTACAAAATTATCCATCATTGCTAGCGAAATGTTCAGCATCAGCAGCACTTTATGCAACTTGTGTTACTAGAGATTTGAATGTGAAACAAAACATTTGTGAAAAAGAATTTATCGAGTTCAAACGTTGTTTGAATGAAGCTGCAAAGCGTAAATGAAATAAAGTGAATTTGTAGACGTAGATGAAGAGAGAAAAGTAAATAAAATCAAGTGGTTAGAACCAAAATTATCAAATAATTAATTGAATTAAGCTAAAACTTAAATCGTGTCGCCAACCATGAGAACCACTAACAATCGATTAACAGAGACTATGGAAAACAAAAACAAATTCATGTTGACAGTTTCGACGGTATTTAATCGTATATACTTTAAACAACATTTGATAACCAGTTTTCTAATACGTTTAGCATTTATTGTATACGGAGAATTTCAAGATAGTTATGCTGAAGTTCCCTTCACCGATATTGACTATAAAGTAGTTACTGATGCTGCTAGACATATACTAAACGATGAATGCACAATGATATTTCCGGTTAAAAGACCAGCTAAAATTGGTGTGTAACGGTAAGTGATCCTTTTGTAAGGTGATTCATCGTTTGGAAAAATTCTATTCTCCATTTTCGACATTTTGATTGGAATTGTCATTCGGCAAATTATTCTCGATGAGCATCTCCATACTTTGTTGAAGAAAAATAAACGCCTGCAGGAAACGACAGCTCACCATCGATTTCATCTAACACCGAAACATGATAAACAAGCGACGTGGGCTTCATTAGTCTGGTTATATAATCCAATGGCGATTGTTATCGCCACACGAGGAAATGGTGACGCAATAACCAGCCTATTAATATTACTTACGATTTTTGCATTGCAACGAAGTATTCGACGGTCAAAATCGCACAATTTCGCATATGTACTGCTTGCCGGAGTATTTCATGGACTTGCCATTCATTTTCGACTGTATCCACTTGCGTTTAGTTTGGCATATTACCTATATCTTGGGGATGATCGCACAGGAGGAGCAAATCAGCGGCAAAAAACATTTTTCACCGTTATTTTTCAATTCCATCGCAGACAAATTCTGTTGGTTTTCTCAACATTGTCCACACTATTTGCGCTCACAATTTTATTTTACCAAAAATACGGCTTTGAATTTCTTTATGAATCGTATTTATACCATTTGGTGCGCAAAGATACACGCCACAATTTCTCTTTATATTTTTATATGAATCTTTTGAATACGAAACCAATGTACATCGAAAAGATTTTAACATTTTTACCACAATTGCTCATTTTACTCTCGATTAATGTGTTCTTTGGAATGCATCGTAAAACGATTGGATTTTGTATATTTCTGCAATCATTTGTCGTTGTTTGTTTCAATCCGGTTGTTACTTCGCAATACTTTATCTGGTATTTGGCAATCTTACCTATATGCTTGAAGAATTTGAAATCGATGAAAATGAACAGGGCGCTGTCGTATTGTGGCCTATGGTGTTCGGCCCAAGCGATTTGGTTGTATTCAGCATATCTTTTGGAATTTAAAGGCTGGAATACTTTTGGGTTTATATGTTTGACCGGAGCCATTTTCTTTTCGGCCAATTGCTTCATAATCAAAATTCTGATTGACAATTTCAATGTTATTGCCGATTTTTAAATGTAGATTTTATGTAAACAAGTAGTAAAATAAATAAATAAACGGAAAAATCGATATTTTGGCATTTTGTTTACATTTATTCTGCATGTATGGTGTATGGCTGCCGTTATTATTTATATGTTTTGAACGAAACAATCGACGTGCTATAGAAAAATAAGAATTAATTTGCATATTGCGACATAATTTGAGAGCGAGTAACCATGAAATATGAAAAAAATGTGAGAGCTATAATAGTTTTTATATTTTTCAAGGAATCTTATGAGTCCAATATGAAAAAATTTGTTTGTCCTTGAAGTATTATTTGAGTGGGTTAGCTACTACAAGCGAGCGAAGCGAGTAGCTGCTACTTTGAGATGAATAATGATTTTTACAAATGTCAATCTTATTATCTGAAGTTGGCCGCGTATAGGCATAAGGTCCAGTATATAATATGAGGCCCGAAAAAGCTTAAAATCTATTTTTGTAATTGTATATCTAAACGATTGTTTTTATATTATGTTTTATTTTGTAAATTCTTATTTGTTTCATACGATTTGCCTAAATTAACGGAAAATAATGTAGAAACACCGCATGAAACAAATAAGAATTTACAAAATAAAACATTATATTCTGTAGATACAATAGCAAAAATAGTTTGTAAGCCTTTTCGGGCCTTGGCATGTATACTGAACCTTATGCCCATACGCAGCCAACTGCAGATAGTAAAATTGACAGTTGTGTTTGCTCCTGTATAATACATATTCACTAGATGAATAACAACAGAACAAAGAACATTGAAAAAGTGTTTAAATAAATATCATTAATTATCTCAAATTATTTTGCTAAATAAAAGCCATCCTTACAAATTGTTAAAATTCCATAAATGTGTAATAAAATAAACATCGTGAATTAGAAAGTTGAATGAAAATCCAAATAATACGCGTGTGTAAAAACAAGTGACTTACAGTCAGTCAAGTATAAATGAATTAATTCGACTATAATTGGCTAAGTTGATTAAAGTTGACTGGTTCATACAAATTTTCAAATCATCACAGTCGGCTCTTTTGGGACGTTAGTCTTCTGATTGCAAAGTTGACTATATTCGTCTTTTTTGTTCAAAGCAATCACATACAGACCGTCCGAACGTTCCAAATTAGCCGGCTGACTGAGTCAGACAATATTTTACACAAGAGATTGTCAAGCACCGTCGATTATGTATAGTAACGAAAAAATGTCATCGCCATCTGACGATACCGACGATTTAATGATTGATCCCATGACTGAAGAGCTACGGAACATAGAATCTGTGATTATTGTAACCAGCCGTAATATCGATGCACTAAATGCAAAATTTGCCAACAGACAGGATCCACCGCCCATGTATATTTCCGAATATCAGGAGCTTACTTCACGATTACATGAACTCGAAGAGAAGAAACTTGAGCTCAGCGAAAAAATGCAGCAAAATGAATCACCTGAACCACCAGAAGAACAGTTATTATTTGAGGTAATCAAGAAACAAAGATATATAGATTTGCGACACAAAGAAGAAATTTCAATTAAAAATGTCGTTTTTGAGACGACTGGTAATTTAATGTCAGTTAAAAATTCTCTTTATTTTTTAATTAAATAGGTGCGAAACAATATTGAAACATTGAGTAGACAACCGAAAATATTTTTACGTGCTCATTTGCCAAATCAGCAAAGAACATCTGTTCAAGTGATTCCCGGTCTTCGATTGCGAGATGCATTGAGTAAAGCATTAAAACGACGTAATTTAACATGTGAAATGTGTGAGGTAACAACTCTTAGTCGAGACAAACCAATTCATTGGGATACCGATATCAGTTTAATACGTGCCGAAGAGGTCTACGTTAAGGTCACTGATAAATGTCCAATTATGACACACATTTCTCATCAGGTACTATTTGAACGATGTTTTAAAATCAATTTGATACTAACAAGCTGTTTTTTTCTCAAATATTTTACAGTTCGTACGAAAAACATTCTTTTCGTTAGCGTTTTGTGAGTGTTGTCGTCGTTTATTATTCACTGGCTTCTATTGTACACAATGCAATTATCGATTCCATCAAAGATGCGCTGACAAAGTTCCTCCATTGTGTCATCAAATACACATGGATAGTTACTATCAATTGTTATTATCTCAAAATCCTGACTGTGGTATACGAAATGTAAATGGATTAGGTTTAGGTGATCAAGAAAGGTAAGGCCCTTAATTAAATCCCCCATTTTGTATCGTTCTATAGAAGAATTTTTAATTTATTCGTGATTTTATTTTAGACATCCCCGATCTCTAAATCAACAAGATCGATCAAATTCAGCGCCTAATGTGTGTATAAATAATGTTAAAACATCGTCTGACCAGTCGAGACTTCTTCAATTGACAAGAGGACCCATGGATTTCGTGAGTTTATTCAGCGATAAAAAAAGAGAATATTCCGAAAAATCTAATTGTGAACATTTTTTTTACTTGTAGACTCAGTCAAGTCAAGAACATTCACATTCAACACAAGCATCACCCACTAATACGTTAAAACATGTGAAACGTCAGCGAGCACGTTCGGCTGACGAAAGCAATAAAAATCTTTTATCTCCACGTGAGCAAAAACCGACTGATGAAAACTGGGCAAGTGAACTAACTTTTTGAAAACAATAATTTTCATGTCGTCATTAACATTTCGTATTTATATTTGTAGAACATTCAAGCAGAGGAGATTCTTATGGGACCTCGTATAGGTAAAGTAAACCATTTAAAGAAATTTATTACATCAAGCTCATAAGTTTTGTTTTTTGTAAATACTCCTAATCATACAGGATCAGGTAGTTTTGGAACTGTGTACCGAGCTCATTGGCATGGACCGGTTGCCGTAAAGATTTTGAAAGTAAAAACACCGAGTCCTGCTCACTTGCAGGCATTCAAAAATGAGGTTGCAATGCTGAAAAAGACGCGCCACTGTAACATTTTATTGTTCATGGGATGCGTTAGTAAGCCATCGTTAGCAATTGTAACTCAATGGTGTGACGGCAGTACCCTGTTTAAACATATTCACGTGAACGAGTCACGGTTCGAACTGAATACATTGATTGACATTGCACGTCAAGTGGCTCAAGGAATGGATTACTTACATGCCAAAAATATCATACATCGTGATCTCAAGAGTTACAACATTTTCTTACACGAAGATTTATCGGTAAAAATCGGTGATTTCGGGCTTGCAACTGCAAAGGCTCGCTGGTCTGGGGAACAACAATCTGAATATCCAACAGGCAGTTTAATTTGGTAATTTAAAAATGAAAAGACAAAATTCAACCTAAACATCAAATGTGACGGTTTTCATTGTGTTTTTTATCCTCGGCAGGATGGCACCAGAAGTGATACGAATGCGAGAATCAAATCCATACTCATTTCAAAGTGATGTTTATGCTTTTGGAATTGTGATGTATGAATTGCTAACTCTTCAACTACCCTACAATCATATAAATAACAAAGATGAGATTTTGTTGAAAGTTGGTCGTGGTGTTCTGCGACCCGATTTAACGAAAGTGCGATCAGACTGTCCACAAGCGCTGAAACGTTTGGCAGAAGACTGTATGAAATTAAATCGCGATGAAAGGCCATTATTCCGTCTGATTTTAAATATGCTGGAAACAATGCTTCGAACTTTGCCAAAAATTCACAGAAGTGCCAGCGAACCCACGCTGCAAACTCAATTACACAGTGACGAATTTTTGTATAGTTGTTCCAGTCCAAAAACGCCCGTTAATTTCCATTGTTTTCAGTATTTTGGTGGAGCCATTTAAAGTTAAAATGGTTCTAGCACAACATATACATTGTATTTCTCAACTAGAGCATAATAACCAATAATTCTAATTTATTTATAGAAATATCTTGTCATAACATAATTTTATTCATGTAAATAAATCAGCAAAACATTCATCAAAAAAAAACGGCACCTATATACCATACGTGCAAAATAAATGTAAAAAAAATGCTAAAATATCGATTTTTCATTTATTTATTTGTTTACTTGTGTTAATCAGAATTTTGATGTGTATATCACGTGAAGCAGGAATATGGGAAAATGTTCGGTCGATCTGATTTGCATTCGGCAACAAGTGGTCGAGGCTTACAAGCATTGCGAAATAAAATTTTGTGCAAAATTGAAATCTTTTACGGTGAAAATCATTTGTTGCAGAACCATCAAGGCCAAGCCATAAGCTCAAAGCAAAAGATCAACAAGGTTTGATGTCACTCTCGGACACTTTTAAATCATCTCCATTGGGCGCAGCAGCTACAGGTAATGATAAGTTAAACTAATGTACATTTTCAAATCATCCACATTTTCATAATAATGTTTTCGTTTTCGTTTCATTTTGTGCAGGCAGGCCAAATTATTCAGAAAACAACACATGTTGCAGTAAAATTGCCGATGCAGTCGAGTTGAACTCGTCTCAACGTTTGAAAGACTTGGATCGACTGAGGTCATTAAATGTTGACCTTTCATCCATAAATTCAAGTCAGTCGATTCTTTGAAAAATACAAATCAATATTTGACATTGTGAAACACACTGTCTTTGAAGCCGTGAAAGTTTTTCTTTTACAATTGGAAAAACAGCGAAAATTGGAAACGATTTGGCAAAAGTAAAAGCTGACAGCTGATTTCTACAGAAAAAAATAATCTCTATATTTGTTTCAAATTGAAATAAAAAAATTTTATTATATAGTGAAATTTGAATGAACTCATTTTGCAAAATAATAAATAAAAAACCAATTTTCAAAAATAGGTATGTGAATCAACCTTAAGACTGTAGTCTGTCGAATGAAAGGCCTATTGAAAGAGGTCCTCCTAGTCGATGCGGTTTTAATGAACGCCATTTTTTCTTTATGATAGTAAAGGCAATTGTTCAAAAGCTGTCCACCACGAAAGAGCGTTTGAAATCGTTTTGGCTTTCAAATATTTTTTATTCGGTTTTAAAGTGATTTTTTGGTTCAAAATACATCAAAAGATTAAGAAAAAGCGACAGCGTTCGAAAGAGAAAAAATAAAAATAAATATTGAACAGATAAATTAAATTTTTTTTGACAAGATGGAGCATTCAGGTGAGCAGAAATACAGCGTACGCGAATACGAGAACGAAAACATCAATCGGAACTTCTTCTTGAAAGTGCTCTTAACGATTTTTTTTACGATATGGTCGAATTAATGACTAAGCAATTAACGTTGTTTCATCGATTTGTGTGATAAAGAATTCTCATTGATTTATAATGGTGCAACCATTGCCAAATAATATGAACAATGTTTTTATACGTTCTAAAACTTCCATTGGTTTGCATGTGACAGTAATTTCAATTTTTCTAATAGATATTATTTTTAAATATTCTCAACTATCTATAAGCAATCTAATCCTTGGATATTATTTCAGATTATGGACAGCAAAAGGGGAAAAAACAGAGTAACAATTTGCCGTTCAATGGCAACGAATCAACAATGAATTTAAATCCACTAATTTTAACAAATATTCAGAGTTCTAGTTATTTTAAAGTTACTTTGTTTAAACTAAAGACATACCATGAGGTGATTGACGAGATTTACTACCAAGTTAAACATTTGGAACCTTGGGAACGTGGATCACGCAAGACATCTGGTCAAACTGGCATGTGTGGCGGGGTAGGTAATGTTTCAGATTCGCTAGAGAAAAATATATATAAATGATTGAATTGAAACTGTTTACGGTAACTTCATCACGATTTACTTATATATCTACTATTTTTGCAGGTTAGAGGAGTTGGAGCTGGTGGAATTGTTAGTTCTGCATTTTGTTTGTTGTACAAACTTTACACATTACGTTTGACTAGGAAGCAAGTCAATGGTTTAATGTCACATACGGATTCGCCATACATTAGAGCGTTAGGCTTCATGTACGTTCGTTTTACACAGCCGCCCGGTGATTTATTTGATTGGTACGAAGACTATTTGCAAGATGAAGAAGAAATCGATGTGAAAGCAGGAGGTGGCCAGGTAGGTAATGAACGATTATTAATTTAAATCGACTCCCATTTTCCGTATATATTTCCATATGCTATGATGAACCTTTTCGTGATCTGACGTGTTTTTTTTTTCATTGCTTCGAATAGATGATGACAATTGGACAAATGCTGTACCTATGGTTGACAAAACTCGAATGGTTCTCCACATTGTTCCCTCGAATTCCAGTTCCAATTCAGAAGCAAATTGAATCCAAAATGAACAATTATTGTCGAGAGCACAATGTAAATTTTTCAACTGCAAATGCATGCTCAACACAAAGTGAGCCTGAAAAACGAAATGAACGACGGGAACGAAGTGTTGAGCGAAAACGTGACGGTGGCGGCGGTGGTGGCGGCGGTGGTGGCGGCGCTAGAGACCGAAGTGAAATGATGAAGCGACGAATTGATGAAAGACATGAATCAAGACGAAATGATGAACGACACGAAACGAGACGAAATGATGAAAGATACGAATCGAGACGGGACCGTGAACGCGATTATCGTCAAAGAAAATCCCGTTCGAGATCACCAAGAGATCGTCATTACAAACATAGTAGAGGTGGCGGCAGTGGAAGCAAAGATTACGGAAGTGGAAGCAAAGATTACGGACGCAGAAGTCGAAGTATAGATCGCGATGATCGACGATATCGCTAATTTCTGAAACAATTATCATATAATTGAAATTTCTTAATCGATATTTTATTTTGGTTATGTTGCATAAATTGTCACGAATTCATCCGAAAATCGATGTAAATGAGATAAAAAAATTGATTGAAAAGTGTAAACGTCCGCATACACATTCTACATTTGTAAAGCCGATCATCAAATTATTGTTGTTCATATCAATATCATAGATTTTACATACGCAAGCCAAACAAATAGTTTTACACAGTCAATGAGTAAAATTACTTCTTTGGCCTGCGTATTTTTATACATAAGAAAGTGTCTTAATTCACATGTTATTTCTTACGTTTCAACCTCATTTTCTTTAAGGATCATATAAACAGAAAAAAGTCGGTAAACATTTATTACATTTTATTGAATTTCCTGATGTTTTATACATATTCAACTTATTAAAAGTTTACGGACGGTCGATTAAAGTTTACCGAAACACATAAACTTGAAGTTAGTTTACGGATTCGAAACTAAAAGAAAAATAAATATTTATTTTGAATAAAAAAAACTAGAAAAATAATTTTTTCTTTAAATTTACATATTTTTCGTATTTTTTGTTAAATTCACTTTGAATTCTATAAAAAATTCAATATATGGTGAATATATATTTTCTCATCGCGAATCTCATGTATATGGTACATGCAAGCGTATGAAGCTACGTCAGACGCACCCATTGTGCGGCTACGCTTGCTCACTATATGTGTCTCCCTTTACGAGCTCATTTCATTGTTTGTGCGTGAAAAAGACGACAACTGTGTGTTGATGCGCGACATACCATTTTACGAACTCTATTTCAATTTGTATGTGTAAGAGCGACGACAACGGTATGATAATGCGCACCATACCAAAGCGTTTTAAAAATCAAAGCATCGACGTCGCATTCGTCTCCCGAAAGGAGAACAAAAGAAAGAGAAAAACAACAAGAAAGAACTTGTATAATTTTTTTTGGATACAAGCGATAGAAGACAGCCGCCATTGAACTACGGCTATCGAAAAAGATTTGTTGTGCATTTGCTTGGTTGTTGACTGTGTCATTTTTTGGTTTAAAAAAATTATTATTTCTGATTCCAGAAAGTAGTTCAAGACTTTTTCGGATGATGAATTAGTTTTTGTGCTCTTTTTTTTTCATTGTGCAAATTAAATACAAAGTGTATACGAGATAGAACTGTTCCCTATCGTTTGATTATTGTGGAGTAGACATTTTTCTTCATTCCGTACTGTGTGCGCTGTTGCTGTAAGTGTGTGAACAATAAAGAGTTTTTTTTTTCTGGCTTGTTTCTGAACATCTCAAACATCTCGCAGGTACATTTTGTACATGTAGCGTTTGCAGTCTCCATTTTGAAAATCGACTCCAAACAAATTTACATTTTTTTTCTAAAACATTTATTCATTTTTTCTACATTATTTCCGCATATATTTTTATTTGCGTTTACGCAAAATGTGTTTGGACGCGATTCTGTTGTTTTTGTTTTGTGCACACACATATTCGTCAATATTTGTATTTTGATTGACAGATGATGGGTTGTCAGTTATGGCTATATACATATACATATACCAGTGAATAAAGTTGAATAATCGAAATGTAGAGATTTTTTGACATATTTTATCCATATATATATATATATTTTTAAATAATTTTCCGAGTTCAATATTTTTTTGAGCTTCAAGCAATTTGACTTCGTTTTATTTTCAAAAAAACACAATGGTAATCTTCTTAGTGACTTTCTCGACAAAACAATAAACAAAATTGGCATATGTGCAAAAAGCCATTTATATAGAAAAAAAAAGTAGAGAGAAAGAGCAAAAAGTATCAAACAAAACCCCATGATGTCAGGCTTAAGTATAATTCTTTTTTGTCGCCTTTCTCGTATTTTCAATCTTCTCTACCTTTTCAATATCTTTTATTGTTCATTTGCCATCCAATATTTGTTGTCCGGCTCAATGTCCTGCTGAGTTTGATTCTTTTCATCCATAGTTTAATGCACTCAAACCAAATCTGATTGAACGCTAAGTTTTTTTTCAATTTTTTTTTTTGAAAATTCCACAGAGAAATATCTGTACACTGTCATTTGCGTGTGAACAAAAATATTCAAAATGGATACCGATCCAAGTCGTATGATGGGCCATGGCATGCCCATGCAGAGTTATGGAATGCCAAATCCAAATGAAGGCGCTGAAAATGAAAATCATGGTCGCAAACAAGATATCGGCGAGATTTTGCAACAAATTATGAACATCACCGAGCAATCGTTGGACGAAGCACAAGCTCGAAAACATACCTTGAATTGTCATCGAATGAAACAAGCATTGTTCGTGGTTCTATGCGAAGTTAAGGATAAGGCCGGTAATTAAAGAGTTTTTTTTTTACATTTTCTAACATTTATCAATTGAATGCCATTTTCTATGTGCTCATCGTTTGCATTCGGATTCATAAACTGCGACCAATTATATATGTTGAAAATATGTTTGTAGTTCTATCGCTCCGTAACACACAAGAAGAGGAACCTCCAGATCCACAAATCTTACGTTTGGATAATATGTTGATTGCTGAAGGTGTTGCCGGTCCCGAAAAAGGTGGCGGTGCCAATGCTGCCGCTTCAGCAGCAGCCGCCAGTCAAGGGTCGTCACTGTCTTTGGATGGTCAGGATAATGCAATCGAACATTCTGATTATCGTGCTAAATTGGCACAAATTCGACTGATATACCACCAAGAATTGGAAAAATATGAACAAGCGTGCAACGAATTCACAACTCATGTTATGAATTTGCTTCGTGAACAAAGTCGTACCAGGTACTTGCGATTAGATCTAATCAAAATTCCATGCCCCCAATCGAAATCTAATTTTAATCTTTTCTATTTTGTATTCAGACCAATTACTCCAAAAGAAATCGAGCGCATGGTTCAGATCATTCACAAGAAATTCGGTTCCATTCAAATGCAGTTGAAACAATCGACATGTGAGGCGGTCATGATACTGCGCTCACGCTTTTTGGATGCACGTCGAAAACGTCGCAATTTCAGCAAACAAGCATCCGAAATATTAAACGAATACTTCTACAGTCACCTAAGCAATCCATATCCTTCCGAAGAGGCCAAAGAAGACCTGGCACGTAAATGTGGTATTACGGTAAGTAATGGCATTCAATATCGAAGAAATTGCTTTTCATCTACACACATTCTTACATGTATTGATCGTTCATATACATAAATCCTTTCAATCGACACTTCGATTGATCATTCCTTTTATTCGTTTCACGCCATCGTATAACATCAGAATTTTGATAACATACGATGGTGTTACGGCGGTCGCTTTATACGGTTTTTCTTTATTTTTGCTCGGAATATACGATGACTATAAATAATTTAAAACATTTTCATAACTTATTGAAAATACAAAATTCTTGTTTTTTGTAATCGGTTTCTAACACTGATTCTGAATTCTCTTACATCACTTTTTTTCATCAATATTTGAAGAAATGGTGCAACATCTTAAACGTATCTCAGTGTTCAATTTTAAAAAAGAAAACAACAACATGAAAATTTGAATCTGATTTGTGCTCTCATCTTACTTAATAATAACATTTAAACTAAAAACTAAACATCACCAAAATTGAAATGTTCGTGATCGTGTAAAAAAGATTGCAATTACTGCAAATGTATATATCGTGTGATTATTTGTGTAATGTGTTGACCAGACGAATAGCTTTTCCAAATCACAAATGAACGAAGCGTGGGGTATGTGCAATTTTCTTTACTTTTTGTTTTCCTTTACGTTTTAAAATAGCTTTCGTAGATAATACCTAGTCAAAACTAATCAAATAATAATTTTAATTCTCTTTCAATCTGTCGAACGAAATAAACACAGCAGCTGAAAAAAATATATAATTGTTTTGCGACGATATTATGTACATTCTTATATCTCTACTTTTGTGGAAAACAAAAGGGAAACTAAGGAATTGTGCACATCCCACCGCATTTGAACAAACAAACAAATTATCTTCAAAGCGAACACATTTCATTCGGGAGTCTACCGAGTTATTCGTTCGAACACTGTGTGCTTTATTTTCTTTAATTGCATTGGATTGAATTCATTTACTAATCAACATTCATTTTCATTTTATTTGCAATCGTTTGAAACTGTACCATTTGCATTTGCATTGGCGCATCACATTAATGTTCCATCTCTTTCTTATCGATTTGGCGTCACTTAGGTTTCTCAAGTGTCAAACTGGTTTGGTAACAAGCGCATTCGCTATAAGAAAAATATTGGCAAAGCTCAAGAAGAAGCGAATTTATATGCTGCGAAAAAAGCAGCGGGAGCATCGCCATATTCCATGGGTGGTCCGCCTTCTGGTGCAGGTAACACTTTCACCAAATAAGTTTATGCACTTTAATTAACGATAATCGATTTATATAATTGAAGACTTACTAATCTGAAAATATTATATAGCAACGCCAATGATGTCTCCAGCGCCAACACAAGATTCCATGGGTTATTCGTTGGGCTCAGGTTATGATCCACAGCAAGCATACGACGGTAGCATGGGTTATGATCCAAGTTTGCATCAAGATCTCAGTCCATGAGGATAAATTTTGGTATATCCAATTCAATGGAGCATGCACACAACGCACTCTACCGCACATAAAAACATACAGCCACGATTAACTGAAGACACTTAGCCAAATTTAGTTTTCAGCGGTCAAAGTATTATTTTCACGAATGTTACATTCGGCTTTTTTCTTTTTAATTCATTGTTCTTCTTCCCGAAAACTAAAATGTGATTTTTTTTGAAATGAATTTCTGTTTTATTACTTTTCATTGTTTTTTTCATTGTTTTTTTCAAATGTCTATTCGAGAATTATAATTTTGACTTATATTCGTGGCGCGTTTTGTTGCATCTCTTAATCAACACCAACGAATGGATTTTAAATAATAATTAGGGCAAAAGCATTCAAGTGAAATCTAATCGAAAACCATGTATACAAATAACCAATTATACGTAAAAAAATACAGCTAAAATAATTTATACTTAATATATTATACGTGAAAGCTATATTATTCAATAATTCAAAATGAACAGTGTAATACGAATGAAATGAACATGAAAATTATTTGATAAGACAAGTCAATGTATGCTTAAAATAAGCAATTGGGGCCGCGAAGTGTGAATAAGTCAGCACATGAAAAGTTGTTTGAGTTTTGAATTTGTTTGTTTTGAGACATTTTCTCATATGAATTTTCGCTTTCGTTCTGAATTCTTTCGAAAAAAATTTCTTCTAATTATACGATCTGTAACTACAGTATACGATTCCTTTTAAATATTCAAAAACAAAGGAAACAAAAATCAATGACAAATCTTTTTCCAAAATCGTTTACATTTGATTGCTCAAATAAAAAATAAATATTCTCAATATATTCACGTAATGTGTTATTCACAGAAAAAAAATTAAACATGTATTATTTTGTGCGAATCAAAGTTATTTTTTGACTTGCTTTTGGATGTTTCTCACACAAATATAACAAAAACGTGGACATACAGTATCAAAACGCTGTATATAAACACACCAAAATTGAAATAAACTTTTTCTAAAAATCACGTTGCCATTTTGAATAAATTTACATTTTTATTTTCAAAATTCCGTAATACATTTTTTCCGAAAAAAAAAAACAAGAAAATATTATATTGCCGGTATCTTTTCTCTGCTGAATCTTTGCTATCCCAGCCTCTATCACAGAAATAATATTAATCAGCGGTTCATTTAAACTATAATTTGAAAGAGTGTCGGTTTTTTCGCCCTTGCAAGTGTAATATTTGTGTCACAATTTTCCAATGAAAAAGAACATTTGTATACCAGTAATGTTTAATGATTAATTTCTAAGTAAATTTTGACTAACATTTATAAATGTAATAAAAATGATTTTGGTATACATAAAATGTATTGCACATACGATAAAGTACGAGATTTGTGGTTGCAATTGTCAATTTATCTTCATCTTAATTTGATGATTGTCATAGAAACTCTATAAAGAGTACATCATTCGGGTCAAATGTCAAGTCGGCAACGAGTGAAAAAATGTATTCTTAAAAACTGATAACAAAAAAAAAAAAAAAAATGGGTGGTTAGTTTAAATATACATTTTAAGAGATTCAAGCACATAAACAGAATTCAGATAGAAAAACGAACAAATTCAATGCAACATTTTTTTCTCTCGGTAATTCCATGTATACGAATTAAATAAAATTTGAAATGAATAAACGATCAAAGTTAAAGGTTTTGATTTAAACAATTTAAAGGTCAAATATTCAAGCCGAACTACATTTGCTGTGTACTTAAAAAATTTATCTAAACTACATACGTTTTAAGTAGTTTTAATTTAAAACCAACAAATCCACAATAAAATCTCTATTCTAATATTTGAATGAATTTGTCTTTCTCTTTTTTCAAAGCATAATAGTATAGAATATTTTTTTATTAATTTCTGTATCCAATTAATCAATGAAAAAATCTCATAATTTATCTTTTTGCTTCTTTCGTTCACAGGTGTCGCAAATTTGCAACTGGTTCGGTAACAAGCGCATTCGCTATAAGAAGAACATTGGAAAAGCTCAAGAAGAGGCGAATATGTACGCTGCGAAAAAAGCGGCTAGCGCATCACCATTCTCCATGCATCCATCATCTTCAGGTGCTTCAACACCAATTATGTCGCCAGGTGGTCAAGATCCAATGGGATATGGATTATCAAACTACGATCAACAAAACTATGACGTTAACAATATGTATAGTCATAACAGCCCATAAATAATAACGCACAATTTGAGGTATACAACATCGTAATCACGTTACTTTGCGTGAGATGAAGAACCATCAAGTTCAAATCAAAGTTAAGCATACGAATAACTAACACTAATATTAAGTCGCATTTTAGTAGGTAAACTCTGGTGAAATGGTGCATATTCTGTTTGATACACGAATCGTTTATTAGATAATTTCATTTATTTTCTTTTTCAAGCAAACACCGCCATGGTTCATTCCCATTGCAATGTTTTCGATTTATACATGATTTTTTTTGTTCATCTTTTACAAATGTTCGCTATCTAAAGTGAGTGCTACCATACATTGATATTTGAAAACAAGTATACGATATTTCAAAACTGTTTGCTTTTTTATTATGAGTGTTCGCGTTTCATATAAATATATTTCATTTGAGGAACAATTTTCAAATCAAATTTGACGTCAAAAGTATACGATAACAAAACAAAAATTAATCACGTGGTTTTGAGTTCATAAAATATTATCAATATTATATCATGACCTAAACTTTTGTATACCCGGTTATTTTAACCACCAAAATTTCAACCACATTTAACTAGCATTTGCAATTTACGAATTATAATAATAAGGAAAATACGAAAAACAATACTTTCGTCGATTCGTTTTTTTAAGGAATGCAATAACGAAAACTATTTATAAGAAGCGAGCATCGTCACATAATTACATTCAACATCAACAAAATAGTTCGCCACAAAAAAAAAGATGCACGCAAACAATAGCTGGTCTGGTAGAAATGTGAAATTTCTAATAATCAATTTTTGTGACCGAGGTCAAAAACCACAGCAAACAGAAACGATGTCTCGTAAAAAATATTTCACATTTTATTGTCTTTTTGGGTGGAAACAGATATTTTGTCTGATTTCTTTTCAATTACGTACTCTGGAGTCGGATTGACTGGTACATAATAGGATGCCGAGTATTTTCGTTTTTTTTTTCGTCGAGTTTTATGGTGGGGGAAGCAGTCGAATCATCTCACCTAAGTATCGTCTAAATCTATAGACAAAAAGGTATAAATGTCACAAAATCATATTAGTTTCGTTTTAAATTACTTTGGTTCACAGCTAAGAAGATGATCTTCATTGATGTCTAATTGACTGCATATAAAGTAGATATTTAGCAGTATTATTACTAAGTTACTTAAATTTCAATCAATTTTTATAAACAACTTACTTACTTTTCATTGGCTATTTTACTTTGGAACGTTCAATTTTGCCCGAAAAAAAATTATCGGCACTTCATCTGTCTTTTTCCCACCCAACATAGCTTAATAGTAATAATAAATTGTGCATAAATTGACATGTTTTCGCTTGTAAAAAAAAACCAATAGTAAAAGCAAAAAAGACTAAACATTAAAAAAATACATTGAATTGATTGATTGTGCAAAATAAACTTAAGGCTTAACAAAAAATAAAATATGTCTTATACCTAAAGAAAAAAGTTGTTTACATTTTCATTGATTATTTTACTACATTATTGTCAAAAGGTGTGGGTGATTGCATGGACTATTTACAAAGATCAACCACTCAAAATGTCCATAAATTGGAATGAAAACATACTCACTGGATATTACTCAGCTACTAGCTCAGCTACCATCGAATTTTGTTAAATGGAAACAAAATAATCAGGGGATTTATTTGCAAATTAGTTTCCAGCCGCAAGCAAAAGTATCACTCACTCTTTTCCAAGTGCTTTGTTTTTGTATTTTACCACCCCTCATTATGCACATTGTTAAAACTTCACCGCTATTTGCCGGAATCCATTCAGAGAAAATCAAGAGTGTTCGCATAAAATTCAATTACAATTGAATGAACAAAGCGAATGGCTAGATATCAACCACTCGGAATTGCCTTTATCATCTCAATTATATAGCACACCTCCCGAAAACAACTTCTAAGTGTTGACATAATGTCATACCATTCACAATTTTTTTTTGATCATTATATCATAAAATGTTGCGGCAATTTCGTTTTGTTATTTACATTGTGGGCTGCTTCATATCTAAAACTTAGTAAATTTGTTTTTGTTAACATCTGATTTTAAGTTTCTTTGCATTTTTTTCTCTCTCTCTTGGATATGCTGTATACTGTTAAATTATATTTTTCTCTTGTTTGAATCACCGTATTCATGTTGCGCATAATTATGGCGATGCATAAAACATACACAAAATAAAAGATCATCGTTATAAACTCATCGAAACTCATGATATGCCATAAAATACGACGGTAAATCATTATCCACTCTAATTTGGTCGTCTTGAAATTATCATTTCTAAATGCTAGAATAAATTGAGTTTTGCTGCTCTTCTCTATTTACGCTGCTCTCTTAATTATGGCGACAAGATTATGTCAATGGCAAACAATAACTTTGCTTGCAAATTCAAAGTTTCGCACAATTCTTTATGTATGCACAAGCATAATGAATAATTCAGAAAATGTTCCCGCATCTTTTTATCGTGCTCGCACATAAAAGACGATTCATGAATGTGCGCTTCAAAAATCTTGCCATTGCTTGACAAACTTGAGTTGGAAAAACTAGATGCCTGACGGTTTTATGCTTCATATCGTACCTATACAGGGTAGCTTGTCAGACAATTTTCAAAAATTAATTGGGCAGCTGATTTTTTTTTCATATGCTTTTCATACAAATTTCATGTTTTCATGATGTCTTAAATAAAAATGTGCAGATCAAAAATTCAATTATTGAGAAAGTATTTGTTTGGATTTTTCTTCCCGAGAAGTAGCTGAATATTTTTCAAAAATTGTCGCGAAAAAACCCACCCTAATACAATAAGAAAACGATCCTACGCAATTTGTATGAACGCCGTCGGAAATTCAATAGGTGAAAATAAGGATATTGAATGGGTAACCTACGATAGATCCAACCGTTATTACTACTTGGAAAAGTCAATGTGTATCTAACCACATTTGGATAGATATATGGCTCCAAATAATATGTTATAAATAAATCTATTTTTCCCAGATTTGTTATAGTTTTTTTCACCATATTGACCCCAATTTTGTGCAGGAAAACATTGTGTAAAACCAAAAATTTGTCTCATACTGATTTGAATCGTTGAATTAAATATGTTTATTTCTTCTCTGCGAATCTCTTGCAGACAACTTTGAAAATTGAAAAGAACTAAATTCGTTCATTTGACTCATAATTTCCGTAGATAAAATGCTACAAACAAATCGACAATTTACATTTAAACAAGATTGTTATGTTGGCATTGTCATCCACTTTGTAGCATCGTGTCTGCATCATGCATGTGATTCAACTTCATTCAAACATATCGTGTGTACTCCTATCATTTCGTTCATTTGTGTATGTAATCAAACAAACAATCACACGCTATGTGATGCTCTGATTAAAGGGGTTTACATTAAATGAATGAATAACAGGAAAATACGGATATACACACAAAAGTGGGAGTTCATTCGTTGATTGCTGATGCCATTCTATTGAAAAGCAATTACGGTTGAATAATACATAAAGGTTATGTGAACAGCGGGAGAGATTGTTATGATTACAGTAAATACACATTTTTTTAACGCAAATCAACAATTTTATTGGCATTACCATGTTTAAGGGTGAGTTTTTGGAATCGTTTCATTTTCAGATTTAGATTTAATGAATAATGACTTTGTTATTTTGAATTTTCTTTTCTGCATTGTGGTGCCAATTAGAGATTATTTAAAGTTAAACGCCTTTAAGGCATTCAGAAATAATCATGCGGTCTCATTTTTCATGTGAGGGTAATTTTCGTTCTGTTTTTAGATTTGTACGATTGTGATTTAAAAATGTTGTCGTGTGTAATGCTGGAGTGAATAACATCAGATGGTTTTTGTTTGTGAGGAAAAAGTATTTATTGATCGATCAAAAAATCTATTGCACAAAATTAAAATTATTTCAAGAATGAGTTCGATGCTGTTGCGATATATTTTACAAGGGGCAGCCATGAACATAGCCAACATTTCGGAAAATAGCTGCGGCAGCCGCGGCTGATGTCAAAAATGTGCAAGAGTTTGGTGCAGAAAATGATGAAAGTGACGTAGGTGGACAGCACGCCATTGAAGTTGCAGCTACAAAATAGAAACCAATAGATTCAAATCAATTAAATTCCAATCAATCAATGGACAGAATATCTTATTTTTTTCATTAATTACAATTATAATATAATAACATACTATTATGATCACCGGTCGACGACAAAATATCTTTATCGATTGTTGCTTGATGTCTCAACTGCTCTAGTCTTAGTTGATTCTGCCTTTTCCATTTGGTTCTGATGGTAAATTAGAAAAAATTTCTAAACATTCAAAACAAAACTATAAAAACAACATACCGTCGGTTTTGATACCATGTTTTCACTTGAGTTTCGCTTAAATTCAGTGCATCAGCGACATCACTTCGATCGGCAACCGATAAATATTTCTGACATCGAAATTTACGTTCCAAATATGCCAACTGCGAATGAGTAAACGCAGTTCGTCGACGGCGTGGCTTCCGTCCAACTTTAAGGACGTGTGTTTGAAATCCAGATTTAAGGTCAGACGTCAATCTTTGATTTTCATTTAGCAAATTATGCTTGGGAAACATGTCGTTCATTCGGCTGTTTCCAATATTCAATTGCATCGATGTTACTGGAGGTTGATAATCGGTAAAATCTGATTCCGATGACGACCTTTCTTCGATGTCAACATTTATATTTTCGTCAGTTTCGTCTAAATTTGGTTCCAAGTCTAAACAACAAGCAAACAACAATCACATTTCGTTTTGAATATAATTTGTATTTTTAGAAATAAAAGTAGTAATGATTGCGAATAATCCAAATTAGTTTAATATAATACAATGACGGCACCCTTTTGAGCAGCATCATTAGTTTTGCACATGTCAAGTGTCCCTTTAGTCTATTTTTTTCTATATTGTCGTACATGTATTTGATCGATTCACGCTTTGAACATCACATAGAAAATCGTTCTCACTGATTTTAGGCATATTGAGAAAGGTTCAACTTCAGAATCTGAAGTGTGTGAATTTTTATTGTTTCATTATTGGTATTAAAAATCAAAACCGATGCACTCGTCAGAGAAAAATAAAATTATCGCACAATAAACACGTGTCGTATTGTTTTGATTGGAATCACAAGTGTTCTATCTTTTCATATTGTTTATTCAATGAAAATAATGATGCTCTCATTTTTCTCTCTCAAAGATAATTCACAAAAAAAAGAATAATACTTGAGCTCATGACTTTTTGTAATAAGTTAACGACGGGATATTTAAAAAAAATCATAAATTAGAAATGAGATATACTTTCTACCTGCCGTCGATGATTCAACATTGTGAACTAAGTCACGCAATAAATCTTTAATTAAAAATGATTTCGAACTCTCTTGCATTTTTGTTTTTCGTACAAATTTTTTTTTCACAAATTTCAGAAAGTTGGTTTTTTTTTGTATAAAATTAATTGTCTTTATTTTTTAAATAAAACTAAACTATAGTTGTATTTAATGTGAAAATTAAATTTTCCACGGTATTTATTTTCTTCACTGAAATACGTTTAACGCGAACTCGGGATGCTAAACGACTGCTATGGTTAAATCGAATCGAGCGTTTAATTTGTGAAAATCGTTTTATAAACGTATTTTTTCAGTGATCGAGCGCAATAAGTGACAAAAAGTACCATTTTCATTCTCCATCTCTTTCGTCGAGTACCAAAGGATGTGAATGAATAATCTGTGGTACATAACTAAAAACCACAAATGTTGAAATGTAAGCGCCTCCAACACACTAAATCATTTTGCATAAACGCATAAACCAACACAGCAAATCCCTTCCAGTTGTGCAATACAAATAAACACATTGACTGTGCAGGACGAATTTTAACAAGATGAACTTAAACGCGCAAATTTTCAGTCGATTTCCGTTTTTTCTTGCCCTTTTTTCCTCTCTGGTTATCACATATTGTAAATCGGTACAGTTTAAGAGACCATTACCATGCTTATGATTCATATAGCTATTTCATATGTACATTCTCGTTGCACTTTTACATGGAACACAGATTATCCAAGCGAATGTCGTCACTGGGTGATTGTTGAGTGGGGCGTAGCTTGATATCATTCATTCGATATGGCTACGCCTTATTCAGCCCTTTTCGCTTTATGCTTATTTTTAAAGTTTGGCCGTGATTGGTTGTGTAATTTAACTGTAGATTTTCGTTAAATGTTTTAATAATCCAGATAATGACTGAACCCGCAAACCGTTAAGATAAAGTACTGGAAATAATAAACTTTTGAAGAGTGACTGAAAATAAGGTTAAAACATACAATGAAATTCAAGTGGGTGCCTCCTAATTTATTGTGCAAATAAATAATAAAGATTTCAGACGATTTCAACACAAATATAGAAACCAAGGCTTTGCTTTGAATTACATACAATGTTTGATGTTGCGTGAACAGTGAACACACTCATTGATCGGTATATGTACAACAAGAATATATACTTGGCAGGGTTTTAAGTTTACACATTGACAAGCGAGATGAACAGTATAGTTTAAAAAATTAATTGGCGTAAAATTCTAAACGAAAAATCTGCAAATAAAACGATTCATCATAATTCGAATGAGTTTTAACGAGAATCAATTTTAACCGTAATGAAGAATCGTCGTCTCGTTGTAAATGAGTTCAATGTAAGATGAGACAGTATTTAATTCCAGATTTTAACTGTATCAAATTGAGGTTCGGTGCTAGTACATTGTCTTTTTGTGACCTTTAAGAGTATTTTTGTAAGGAGATCGTTAAACTGATTGAAAACTAGTCTAATATTTATGGTATTAAAGGACTTAACTAATGAACTTTTCCAAGCATCCAAAGAAATGAAAATCGATATCGCTGACTTTTGGAAAGGGATTTTTGCATATTTCAGTAGTGCTCGGGCACCAAATTAAGAATCCGCAAAAATATTTTAAAAAGTTCAAAATTTGGTCGCCAGTTGGCATTTTAAAGATATCGCTCAAAATTCATTTTTTTCCATTTTTGAACACCGAAATTATTTTTTCGAAAAAAAATATGGCCATATTCGGAATCTAGGGACCGCGTAGATAATGTTAAAAATATGGTCATTGTACCAAAAATGCCGAAAAAACCCAAAATTGGTCGAATGATTTGTTTGTATTTTTGCAAGAGGTGTAATGCGCTCAATAAGCGTAATGCTTTGTTTGCCGAACTTCGTATAGACAGTGCCATCTATATATAGAATGAGATATTATTTCACAAGTTTGAGAATGAGCGCATATGTTATTCCAAAAATTGTTGAAAAATAATTTAATAAATTGTTTCATTTTTTTGTTTTGAAAGTGAAGTTAGCACAATTAGCATTAGATAATTTCTATTTTAAAAAAAACATAAATTTATATGCGTTTTAATTTAACTTAAAAAGCCTCGGGTGTAGAGTGTGTAGATCTTGTAGAAATGATTTTGTTAAAATCTCCATACGTAAACTCATAAGTGTGAGTGTGACATTTGACAGATACAAAACGTAATGTTATTGTTCTCTTACATACTTGTCATACACTCGTGCGAATTATTCTGTTCTGTTAAGTTCGTTTATTCCGTTCATTTATTTTATTTATATTCTTAATCTGGCAATCACATCGCAAAATTGCGTAAAAATGGCAGATTCTATTAACAGTTTTATTGATCTTGACACCGGCTGTATAAAATATCCTGATGGAGACTTTACTTTTATATTAAACTTTATTCTGTTTAGTTCGCCAAAAGATAGAGTGAGGGTGTTAGTGTGACAGATTTCATATAAAAAAGCTACTGTAATAGCGATCTTATTTTTGCACTTTGTCCTTACCATCTTTTAAATTGCGTGAAATGATTTTTTTTATCGAAAGTAGATGGAAAACTACGCAAACTACTTTTACATTTTTTAAAAATTGGTTGTGTAAGTGATTTTAGCTTGGGGTCGAACATTTTTGAGAGGCCCTTTTTGAATTTTTTTATCAATCGGACATTTTTCTGGTCATCTGCAAGGCATTTTAATGATTTAAATGTCGTTGGAAAGTTATGAGACTCACCTTTCTGGATCCGAAGTCAGAATTGAATTTTTTTTGAATGTCCATCAGGTGGCGTCTAGGGGCAGAGCATTACTAGAATAATCATTTTTGTTTAAAGTAATTCTATGTTGTGAGTAGTAATCCATATTAATCCATAGTAATACACACTTACGTAAATTCTAACAGCAGTACAATGACGTTTCATGTGTACGTTGTGTATTAAATTTGTTGTTTCTAGTACTGCTCTGCCCCTAGGGTGGCGTGTTATGTGGTATTTTCGGCGAAAAATGACCATGTATTTTTTCACTTGATCCAAATTTAAAAAAAAATTGCGTACATAAAAAAAATCAACAAACTAGACGTTTGTTGGGGACTAAATATGTGATGATTTGGCGTATGTGTCATATCTCTGTCATTCATTCCAAAGTTCAGATTTTTGTCGACCAATTTTCAATTTTTCGGTCATTTTTGATCACAGGTAGACGGAGTTTTTTTCAACAAAATCACGGTAATTCTTGACTTATTGAAAAGATATTTAGCTGCTGTTAACGAAACAAGAAAGAAATTTCGAAAAAAAATTCAGCGGAAAGAGTTAGATCAGTATGACTATACCTTCGAAAAATGTGGAAAAATCGATGAAAATCAAAGTTAGTCGTCATTTATCTGGAAAAAATGAATGAGCTTAATATGCACATTTTGAAAAGCTTTGAAAGTCTTTTATTTGGTGAAAATTGGGTAAAATGTGCACTTGAAAGACCACCTGAGTTTCGATTTCTTAGTAATCAACTGCAATGAGCTAGGTTTTTACTCTGTTGATTTACTTTGACAACTGATTTTACATAATTCGGACCCAAGGAATTCAACGATGACAACCATTTTCAGAAATTTGTTGAATTTTACGAAATTTTTCCGCTTGGAATGATATTTTGGAGTAAATTTGTTTTTCATTGGATTGCTATGGAAATTGGTACGAAAAGTTTTTGGTACGAGAAAAGAGGATCTGAGATTTATTTTATCATAAAAGCATGTTAATATTGCGTCGCCTCTTTCACCACAAGAGAGATGACAATGTGTAAACAACACGAAAATAATAGAAATAATTAAAAACAGAACATTTTTATGATTTTTGACGACATTTAACACGTCTTTTGTTTGTGTGTTTTATTTTTGAGGCGACGCAATATTAACATTTTGTATGTATATGAACGAACGCGTCACTGAAAATTTATATCAGAATATATTCAGATTTACAGTATTGCGTCACAGTGAGAACTTCGAAAGAAGTATGAAGAATATATGTTGCAATACAAAATTATCCATATTAAAACCAATGAGCGGTAATATCGTAGATTTTTCTTTATCGATTCCACCAATACGACATCTACCAAAGAACTCGCCGATTTCTGTTACTAGTGGTGTTTTAATACAGCTCGTGTAAACGTACAAAGGAACACACTGACTCCGATTCTGTGTATGCGTATGTATTACAAATTCTGCACTCAGTCGTCAATCGTAGCTGCTTGTGCAAAATTTACAATACATACGCATACACAGTATCGGAGTCTGTGTGCTCTTTATAAAAAATTAATTTGTATGGGGAATATACGATACTAGTTCCCATCGATTAAAACATTTATTTTATAATTGTAGCAATATCGTCAGCATTGTCATCAGCAATTCAATCGTTACCCGAGACTTGGCTACATTTCATCTGATGTGCGAGATGGATATAGGAATTTGATTGAATTTGAATATTGTACCAGTCATCATGATACCGTCAATAAAACGTTTCATTTGATTAGTGCTACAGTTAGCCTTCAAGATGGCAAATTTCATAAAATACGTTATTTTTCACGTTCGGGCAATAAAAAAAACAACAACAAAAAACAAAAACCAATTATACTCGAAAAAGGTTTCATTTTATTAGTTTAATAAAAATGGGGTAATTAAAATTAAAATGATGTTTCCGTTTCCATTTTTCCGTTTCCAATTCATTCAGGGTTCAATCATGCGATCTTCATCAGATTGACTAATTCGAATCATAGACTACCCCAATAATTTAATAAATTTTTTTATTATTTATTAGTTAGTAACATTTTTAAATTATTAAAAATCTAATAATTATTCACTAATAAAATGTTAATAAATAATAATTATTATTTAGTAACTAATAAATTATTAGAATTTTATTATTTAATAAAACCGAGATTTTATTCGATTTGTTATTAGAATGTTACTAACTAATAAAACCTGGGGGCAGAGCAGTACTAGAATAATCATTTTTGTTTAAAGTAATTCTATGTTGTGAGTAGTAATCCATATTAACTCTCTAGTGCATAGCCCTGCCTTTAGGCATTGTATAAAATATATAATTTAAAAAAAAAAGATTTTATTTATGAATTAAAATACATTCAGTAGGGTTCAGGCTTTCATTTTCCGGTCATTTGACAACTGGATGTAAATCGGTTGTTTAATTATAAACACGGTTGTACTCGAAAACAGAAATGTGACAAAAAAATTATCATTTTCTTTGTTTATCGCAGTTTTACTGCAGTTTAAACAATGGTTTTGATTGTTCTCGAATTTTGTCAATAGCATTTTTGAGAAAACCATGCGATTTTTTGAATTTCGATTATTTTTTTAAGGAATTATAAACCAAAACAATCATAGAAAAATAAGTCTCATGTCGAAAAAAAATTAATGCATTAGAGGGTTAATCCATAGTAATACAGACTAACGTGAATTCTAACAGCAGTGCAATGACGTTTCATGTGTACGTTGTGTATGACATTTGCTAGGCATAAAGCGATCGCCGTATATTTCGGATGAGACATTTTATTGTTAAAAAATGGAAAATAACGAATTTAATTTAATAAATATCGAATAAATTGTTTCAATCCGCAATATACGACGATCGCTTTATTCCTAAGAAATGAATCGTCGCGGAGAAAAAGTAGCTCTTATTTTTCTCCAAATAATACTGCAACATGAAGTTTTTTTCACATTCATTAAAAACTTTACCATTTCAGCGGTCTTCCGTGTTTTTCATAGAAGCCTCCCATGTAAATGGTAAAAAATCTTGAAAAATTAAAAAAATTATTAAGAGAGTTTCATATAAACTTGCTATGTCATACCTATTGAATAGTAAGCGAATACCAATCGTTATTGAATCAATAGGCGTCATTTGGCTATTGCAAGGTGAAACCTACGAAAATAAAAATATTAATTTTAAATGAAAATTGAAATGATATCACTTTGCATCACACGCGCACATTGAAAATACCACATATAAAAAATATCGTTAAAACATACCAAAAGTTTTGTCGGTTGAAGTATCCATTTACTGGAAAAATCTTTTCGTCAGACCAAAGAATGCGTTTGTTGAAACCATATATACGCGTTGTCATGTGTGTGTCGTCCGTGAAAAGTTCCCAAGCGACCTGTTCAAACTGCTGCTTTGCAACGATGGATTGAGCAGATAGTGTCCATTTTTTGCGTGCCAGAGTTCCTGAAGTTCTCAATTTATTGAAGAGCTGATGTACAGTTCGGAAATTCAGTCGTGGCAAACGATCGGGATGCAGCAAGTTGAATCGAAGCTCCGAATGAGCAAGAACCCTCGTTGAAGTGAAAAAAATTGAGTCATCTTTGATTTGAATGGTGACTAGATTTTTTTGCAATAAAAAAAATAGAGAGCACAGCACAAAGCATCAATTTTTATTTAAAAGAAAAGAACAGAAGAAACGATTCAAAAATAAAATAAAATCCAACTTATCTGATATGAATTTTCGATGACTGAACGGATTTCAGGAGAAAATTCTAAAACAATCACATTATATTTAATAATCGATGCGATATCACAATCAATCTGCGTACACAATGAATTTGTTTGTTTACAAACAATGCGCACGACACTTGCCAAATAGACGTTCACTTTGAATTTTTGACAGGTAACGTTCATAATAACATTGATCAGTCGAAAGTGAACGATTGACAATTATTAAAAAATACGAATCAGAATAAAGTAAAAAAACTCAAACAAATTATTTTTATATTTAAAAAAGAATTATATTAATTTACATTAAAATTTTTATTTTTATTTCATCTCGAAAAAATATTTTTTGTGAAACTGAATGTTTGTTGTCGTGAAGAATTCTCAACACACTCAACGCCATCTATTCAATTTTTAGATTCACTGTATTTATTGTTGTAGTTTGTATCAACTACAACTACAAATCTATAGGAAAAAAATGTCTGATTTCGCTTTGATATGCAACTATCAAGTAAATAACAACATCACTTAAGTTTATGACTTGGCACTTTGTGAGATTATAACCAATCGTTTTTGTCGCATATTTTGCTGTCCACTTCACATTTTTTTTCATCACCGAAAAAACTTGCAAGTCACCATGAGGTGGTCACGTTCATTGCCTATAGTCCGTTCCATTGTTTATTCGTAATCTTACAATGATATGTAACAAGAGAGACGAGATACACTATTGAAATGACACAAGAGAAATACACACATATATATATAGAGGCTCATCAAATCGCTAGTCAAAGCAGTCTGCTTTGAAACTTGATCGAAGACACAGTTCGCATATTAACAGTGATAAATATGAGTAACAAATTGGTTTTATATAATTTGGATCTCAGTCCACCGGTGCGTGTTGTAAAAACAGTAGCAAAATTACTAAATTTGGAGCTTGAACTTCGGTAAGAATTTTCACAAATTAATTAAACTTTTTTGTATAATTTAAAATTTCATTCAATTTCAAATATGAACATTTTATTTTTCAATGTTAGTGATGTTGATTTGTTGAACGGTGAGCATTTGAAAGAGCCATACATAAAGGTAATTTATATACTGTGATTATTGATTGGAATGTGATTAATATCGACGATTTTTCTTCATTTTTAGCTCAATCCCGAGCATACCGTTCCAACATTGGTCGATGGGGATTTCGCCATTTGGGACAGTCACACAATTTGCGCCTATTTAGTGGACAAATACGCAAAAGATGATGCATTGTATCCAAAAGATTTACAATTGAGAGCCAAATGCAATCAACGTCTGTTTTTTGACGCCGCCAGTTTGTTTGTACGTTTGCGCGATTGCTCTGTACATGTCTTATTTGATGGTGGTAAAGAAATTCCCCAAGACAAAATCACTCCAATGTATGCTGCTTATGACATTTTGGAAGCATTTCTCGCAACCGATCCGTTTTTAGTGGGAAATCATTTGACAATTGCCGATATCAGTGTATCAATTACTGCACTTCTGCTTGAAGTATATGCTCCAATTCCAAGTGATAAATACCCAAAGATAACAGCTTGGCTGAAACGTATAAGCAAAACGATTCCGTTCTTTGACGAACTGAATGCATCATCGACGGAACAATACCGTCAACTTGTTCAAAGTACTCTTGAGAAAAATAAACAGAATTAAGATGTGAATTTTAAATATTTGTTACATATTTTTCATCTAATAAATGTTTGATCGCTTATTCCAGTGAATATTTCGTATTTTATACTGTATATTCTGAATATTTATTGAACACATACAGTATACACAGGAATGAAGAAATTCCACACAAAAGAGAATGAAAAATGTGTATATATGAAATATTCACGAAACATTCACCAAAATTATGTAGTTATACACATCTATTTGTGTATACTTTTCATATATACGACTATATACATGACTATTTTATATAAATCGTTGTCCAACCATATAGTCTCGCATTTTATTCTCTTTATATTCTCTTTATATAAAATTCTGTTACTAAAACATGGCAGAACAGTAGCTTATCAGCACAAAACGAAACATACATATTTTGTATAATAAAAAGTCAATGTTCTTTATTCCTTTGTTAACAAAATATTGTCTCGCTTTTTTTTGCAACCGTTTTGAGTCGCGTTTCGATATGCGACCAAACAAAACAACTGTTTTAGATTTTTAATAACTTTAAAATTTTACTAAAATGCTGAAATAATAACATTTTTAATAAATATCAGAAATGTTTCTATCTATGATTCGAATATCTGGATCTGGTTCATCTTGTGTTCGTTCGTCTTCTGGTGGCAAGGCATTTTTCGGAATATGAAACATCTGAAAGCTTGGAGCATGCTGACACATCTTCAAATTATCATACACATAACGATTTATCATTTTAACATATTGCTTACTATTTACATTCTCCTCTCGTGATGCAATGTAAAATCGGGCGCGAAAAATTCCAAATAATCATTCATCGGAATTTCATTTGAATCATTTGGCTACATTTTGCGGTGTAATAAAATACAGTCTAAGAAAAATATTTTTGGAGTGCAGTCAAAATAAGGAGTTTCGCCGCCGCTTTGTCACCCACCTACGTCAATTAGTAGTTTTATGAATTGATGTAAATTATTTCCATCCGTAAAGCCACGAAATTGTAGTATTTTATGTTCATTTGACTTCAAGCATTTTGCTATTAAGGAATATTTGTATAAGACTTCCAAAGTACATACCAAAATGGTAAATTGAGCTTTATAAAGACTCCCTTCGATTGTCATCTATTTCCTAATGAATTAAATTACATAAATTCATTGGTTTGCTTTTTTTTTTTATTGGTAAACAAAATAGTCATTATTTACAAATGTGCAAAAATTCGAGACAAATGTTTCCGCATTCCATTCATTGAATAAAAAAATATATAATATATCTTATCTTTTTCTTGTGAAAAATTAATAATAATTGTCATTCTTTAATTGTACGTAAAACTTCCCCAACCAGGTGTAAAGAACCGGTCACCAAAATTGAAGTTTCTTCATGTCCAAAATGTTTCTGCAAATACTTGAATACATCCGCTAAAAATAATAATTATTAACGCGAATACATCCATTAGCGCGACATATGTGTGTAGTTTCAGTAATTTTAAACATCACAATGGAAGGAGAAAAAGAGAAAAAAAAACTTAGTAGGAAAGTTAACTATGAATTAAGATCAATAAAGCACACAATATATTTGCATATTGTTATCTGGATATTTCAGCTCATCCGGCTGATGTTAAATTATCCAAATGACAAAATCCAAATATATTGTCTGCAATAATGCCAAGGAAAAATTGTTAGTTTAAGTAGAGCCAAATTCACACCGTCGAACATGGATTTAATTCGAGTGTGGCGTGCAGTTACATATCACCTGAACTGTATCCAGGTTTGACGGCAGAATTGGATGAAATTATGTGATTCGCATCCGAGGGGGAAACCACGGATTCTAATATGTGCTAATTTTTTCTAATATTTCTAGTAAAACGCCATATAACATGTACATTTGACATCTTTCTAATATGTTCTAGTTTTTCTAGTATCGAGTTCGTGGGTAACCCCAAGTTCGCATCTCCGCATTGAGTAAAAGCGTAAGGTTTTTTAACACTGAATTGAACTTAAAATCGTTACCTAAACAGGAAAAATCTTTTGATTTGTTTTGTGGTTTTAGGCTAGACCAATATTCAGCATTTCGTTTCGAGTGGTTTGGTTGTGCAAATGTATACAAATTGTCTGTCAAAGGGATAAAACAAATAAATCGTTGAAGTAACATGGATTTTATGATTGTGATTCAATTACCTTTATCTTGTGTTTGTAATGATGAAATGTTTGGCGTGAAAAGAGCTTGCTCAAATTGTATTTTTGAGTTAATAATATCCAACATATCGCTTACATTTCGATCACCCGTTACATTGAAGAGCAACAGCTTTTTCTCGGGTCTAAAAAATGTCATTCATTTTTTGTTTTTTTGAAAAATCAAACTACATTAAGATGACAAAATATGACCTACCGTGAATTAGTTTTATCATTAAACCAATCAACACAGAGCTGTAAACTGTCGATTGTGTGCGCTCCATCGATGTACAGAGTCAAATTGCGATAAATCAACGTTTGACATCGACCAGGCCAATAACAATTTACAAGTGCTTCCATTACTTCAACTGGTAGCGTCAAATTATCGGAGCTGTCCACGTGCTCACAAATTGATTTATTTGTTAGTTTATGTGGATTTTTTCGTATCCAATCGTAGCTCAGCTGAATTGCTAATGATGCATTTCTCAACTTTGTTGGGTTGGTGGCAATGTCATTGAAAACATTTGCATCATGATATTTATACTCCATGAAATCCGGTATAAACCTTAAATTGGCCTAATGAAAATCATATTTTAGGTCTTTGTACGATCAGAAATCGGATGATGACACGTGATTTACATTTTTTTCATGCGCTCTTTCCAACAATACTGGAATGCATTCGTCATTTTGATGAGTTGAAAAGACACTTGAACCAGATTTAATGATGCCGCTCTTTTGCCAAGCAATATCTTTGTATGTCTGTCCAAGCAATTGAGTGTGCTCCAAACCGAGCGATGTGATGCCGACGGTTTTCGTATTTCTGTGAAAGTTTGTTAAAGTGTTCAAGTTCACAACATGGAGGAAGTGAAACAATAATTCGAATAAAATTTACCGAACAACATTTGTACAATCATATTCGCCGCCAATTCCAACTTCAACAACGGCCACATCCACTTTTTCCTTTAAAAATACATAGTATGCCATGATTGTCAGAAACTTGAAATATGGAGGCATATCGTGAACACTTTGCTGAAAGGAAGGAAAGAGTCATTTTAAAATTGTCTCAAAAAATGTTAAATCTCTTATTAATTATTACTTTTCGAAACTTGTTTAACATTACATATTTTAATCAGAATTTTCTTTCCTTACCTTTGTTTCTTCTAAAGTGCCATAAATTTTCCAAAAGTATTGTGAAAATTTTGTCTTTGATATTGGTTCGCCATTTATACGAATGCGTTCAGTAACATTTAATAAGTGTGGCGATGAATAAAATCCGGTTTTAACATTTTGGTTGCGAAGAATTGATTCGACAAGAGCACACGTTGATCCCTGTATTGTTCAAAGTTTGTTCGTCATCAGATTTGTATTCACTTTATATTTGTGTTATTTTACCTTGCCCTTTGTTCCGGCTACATGAATCACAGATAATTTGTCCAAATCGTCAAGTGTTATTCCAATTTTTTCCAAAAATACTTGCGTTTCTTTAACATGGTTACATTGTGTATTGTGTGCGCGGCCAATCGATTCTTTTAATGTAACCGAATTCGTTTGCAGTCCATTCAATGCTGAAATTGCATCCTGAAAGTAGCACCGAAAATAAATATCTAAATCACACATTGCCGATGACCATTTTCCAGCATGCCCTTACTTCGTACGACCGATGATCAAAACCATTAAGTTTAGTAGCTAAATGAGCCTCTGTGCGACAGTTTAGTTTTAATAACTGCGTGGTAGGAACAAGCGGAGCTTTGCCTGCCTCGAAAACCATTCTTAATGGCAACCGCTTTAAAATCGGATTCATAAGCAAATATAAAAAATATTTCTCCAAATTCCTCAATGATAACAAATAATGGCCAAATAGTAAACCGTTACAATTATTCGTTGATAATTCAAATATTATTATCTCAATTATTCACAATCACCAAATTAAAAACGAAATGTCCAAACGATTGAATTTATATTCCAAACTTTTCAAATTGACTGACTTTCTACTTGGAATCAGTTTTGAATATGTGTTATTGTCAAAGGCACTTTGAATACTATATTACATGAGTTGTTATATTTTATTTCACCAACTTAAATCGTCCGTTTACAATCGTTGGATGATTGCAACGCAATCCTTCGTGACTACAATCCTCTGACAATTCAGGAAAATGTACTAAAATACAATTTTGTGGACGAGTCCAGGGTTAGTTTTAACAATTATATACGTGAACAAACAATAAAAACTAAACGACAATGATTCTAATATAAATCGTATTTGATTTTTTTATGCTTTTCTGAATGCTGTGGCGAAAACGTGTATAATTTTTAAAACAGAACGTGAATTCATGTGTTTAATATTGAATTTAGTATCTTCGTCAAGTTTTGTAATCACGATTGAAGTGTGATCAATTGTATCGACGATTGTGGTCTGAGAAGAAGCAAAAAGTTTTTTTAAAGCAAAAAAAACCACCACTCAAAACATCACAAAAATATTACAAATGTTTTGTCAGTTGAATATTTATCATCATACACATTCACTTTGATCTTCTTCTATTGGCGTTTGAATCTATTATTTAATCAAAAATATGTTTCTTATTGAAATCGAGGAAAGTTTCTATCACAAACTTCATGTTTTGATTAAAGTCCGTTGTTAACACATGCAAAACAATGTAGATTTGTGTACTGATTATATATTGACATCGTTGGGCACATGCTGTACTGAGCAACAGAATTTTTGAGCAACACAACGATTGTCATAGGTTGACAATGTGTATATGTCAGATGTCTGTCTGTGTAATTTATGGTTATGGTTGTTTATTTTTGTTTTGCAACGTGATTTGAAGCTGTTGATTTGTGTTTTAAAATAATTTCACTTATCTGATTCGAGGTTAAACGTAAAGAAAAAAAATGGACATCGAATTGGAGCAAAAGCAACAGTAGGAAATTTTCATAATAACTGATTTGAATGAAATTAATATTGTTTTTAATTACATTTCTAGATCAAACGACAACAGACGACTGGGAAAATGTGAAGTTTGTAATTTAAATTTAGCCAAATACACATGTCCAAAATGTGAGATAAAAACGTGTCAACTTGAGTGTTTGCGTATTCACAAAAAGGAATTGAACTGTGATGGGATTCGAGATAAAACGAAATACATACCGTTAAAAAAAATCTCCGAAGCTGATTTGATGAATGATTATGTATTTCTGGAATCGGCGACGAATTATACATCGGCCCGTCGAACCGATAAAATTAAACGATATACCGCACACAATCGTTCACTTCCAGTAACACTAATGAAACTGAAAAAGGCTGCTGCAGAACGAAAAATCAAACTTGATTTCCTATTACCTAACTTCGATAAGCACAAAGCAAACAAAACATACTACGATTGGGCATCAAAGGTTATCTATTGGTGCATTGAGTGGCGTTTTATCAATGCCAACAATAAAATTATCATCGACGAACGTTGCTGCGAGTCAAAGACGATGAACGAATTGATTGAAAAATATGTGGTTTCATGTGATTCGTTAAGTTCATTGGCAGGCTATCGATCAAAAGGCTTGGGAAAAATTTTGTTATTACTAAAAGCTGAAGGTGTACGAAAAAGTTGTAACAGATTTTATCGAATGGATGTGTCAAAAACTCTCCAAGAAAACCTACAAGAAAAAACAATCGTGGAATTCCCAGTGATTTACGTTATATTCGATTCGGATCTACAGGATTATGACATTATTAATAACAGTGAGTACAGTTTTTCTTTACACATATGACATTTCATTAATCATTTTTGCTTTTTTGTCGTTTTTCGGCATAGATGAGGACATTGTAGCTGAAGAAACGCGAAAACACAAGAACCACTATTTCCCGATGGTGAGAAAAAATAAAGGAAAAGCTGATGCAAACAGTAAAGGCGGTAATGGTGTAGCATCCGAATCGACCACATATAACAGTCAGAAACCAGTGAACTTTCTATTTTCAAACGACACAGATGCAATGGATGATGACGACGATGATTCAAGTGATTAATTGTTCGTTCCAAAAAAAGCTTTTTGTATCAAAAAGTGAATAATACAAGTTCAGTTCAGGGATTTTGCGATTCTATTTTTACATTTTATTTAAATCAAGAATATTTGACATTTTCTTTTTCTAATGTACTTAAAATTCATCAAATGATTACTAAGTTCAACTTTAGTTACATGAACTTTAAATGGAAAAAAAAAATCACAAATAAATAATATATTTTGTTATATAAATGTATGAAATGACGAGTGTCATTTGGTGCTATGGAAAATTGGCATCAATCAGTAGATTGTCCTTTGGGCAATAAATCAGTAGAGGCGAATATATGGTGAACAATGGACTTGAATGGATCAATCCAGTTGACAAAATTTTGTTAAATACATTACTGAATGTTTCGGGCTTAAATTTAAAATACTTATGTGTATACATTTTCGATTACCTTCCCTAAAAAATCAACATGAAAAAAAAACTATTACTATACAAAAAGAAACAATCCACAACCAAAAATCTATCCTTTTTCGAAATTATATGATTATTATTGATAATTAAGGATTTTGTTGATTTTTGGCCAATCAAAGAGTTTTTATTCGTGCGGACGTTCAATTTTATAGAATCCAAAAATAGAAAATAAACACTAAAAATATGATTCCAGCTGCTGCTGCTTTCACGTACATCGATTTTCGATTTAAATACGTCGCATCTTTCTTGTATTTTTGCGATAGCATGGACAAATTTTGTGTTTTTGAATCGAGCTCGGATAAGACAGTTCCTCTTTGTAGTACGTCATCAATATTTTGGACCTAGAAAAATAAATTCCGCTAAAAATGTGTTTCTTGTTTACACAAATCATCACTATTTACCATAATTCGTTGTACATCTTGTAGTTGGCTATTTATTGTGTTAATGTTTTTTCGTCGATCGGTTAGATTTTTCTTCGTTTTTTGTATGTAAACATCGAATTCAATGAATGCATAAGGCCGTGTCACTGTATTCACTTTTCGGCCATAGTTCTTGTGGAACTCTTGTGACAAATCCTCCAAATATGCGAATGCGGAGCGTTTTGAATGCATTTTGTCGCACATCACCAAATAGCATACATCATTTTCAATCAAATAACTGTTGTGAAATTAAAATCAACAATGAATTTAGCGTTTAGAATTAATTAAATGTCGTGTATACTTACTGGAATAGGTATGGTCCTGTTTCAATTGAACATCTCTGCGGCGATTGAGGGCCCAACTTTCGGAATAGCATTTTAGCTTGATTTTGATACTCCAACACACTCTTCCCTGACTAAAATAGAAAATGTTTTTTTATAGTACGGATCGTTTTCTCTGATAAGAATTTCTATGTTTTGTGCCTACCTGTTCGTCCTCAGTCATGGTTCCAACCAATGGTAAACCATCGATGACACGAGCAATCATAGTCATTAGTGCCATTTTCAGTAATTTTTTTTACCTTTTTTCCGTTCACTATTTAAATTTAATTAAATTTTTTGATTCAGCTGTTATACTCAACAAACTTAGAAGTAAAGCTTCGAAATAATCAGCTTCAAATGTGTTTTTTTATTGAAATAGAATCACAAATTATTATTATCTTTTTGTAAGTGGTCACATACTAAATTAGTAATGGTAATAATTTTGGATTTTTCACTGAGAAAATGCAAGTGAATACTTTCAACTCTGTCGAAATAGACGTTCTGCCGTTTTGTTTCTCAACACGTCATCTGTCAAAACACGTACACACACAATGACGTGAAGTTTATGTTGTTTTATTATTCAGCACATTGGAATGAATTGGCGCTCCTAGAAATCAAAACATTGACAGGTGTTTGTTGCTTTGATTTATATTGCTTTAAATGGGTAGAAAACGTAACAACTTACTTCATGGACTGGTGAAATAGAGAAGGTTTTTTTAAATAAGCAAAATCTTACGATTTAAAGTAAAATATAATGGTAAATTTTTTATCTTTTTGTGCGGTCTATCATTTGTCATTTGAAAGAATGTTTGCAGCGCCATTACGAACAGCAGCGGCAAGCACTCAAACTGCTGAATGGCATAGAAAATTGAAAGTTCCATGTTGGCATTTGTTAATTCGATCAGTAAAGTCCTCTGCAATTTTTTTTCGTTTTCAATTAACTTTTGATTTGTGAATCTCTCACACAAATACATCGATTAACGCTAAATTGTTGGGGTCCGTGCAGTTGTTATTTGTTTTTAAATTTTTCATAAAAGATTTTTTCTCTTTCTCTTCAAGTAGTGTGTATATATGTATAATATTCGGATAGTATTTTGTGTGTGAAGTAGTATAAATAAGAGAAAATTTACTTGTACTTAGGAAAAGAAAGAGTCTGCTTTAATTAAGGCTGTCAGACAACAATAAATCATTAGTGCAATTGTGATTTTAGCCAATAAATACAATAATAATACGACATAATACTTGCAAAACAAGAAACATTCTCAATTTGAACTGGTAATTGAAATCTGAATTTTTAACATACGCTCCATAGTTATTGTATTTTTGAATGTCTACGTAACATATTTGTGCTTCTCAATTTATTCAAAATCAAAATTTGCTTGAATTTTCGCACATGAAAAGTGAAAGTTGATCTATATTGGAAAATATTCGAACAAAGACATTTGTGACATTTTATTTGAGGCCCATTGTTTTGCTTTAAAAAACCCTTTTTTTAACGAAATAAAGAAACCATTTGGGACACATTCAAGTTTATTATAGTATTTGGTTAGTTGAATGGTTCAAAAGGAAGATATTATAGACATATAATTAAGTGTCATTTAAAGTACTACGTGTGTAGTAGTTGGCTTCGTTGTTAAATTTTGATACGCTGTCGTTCATGTATACGCAAGCAAATATAATATATTATACGGAAAGAATATCAATAGAAACCCGTGCAAAAGAAGAAAAAAAAATATTTGCAATCGAAATTATAAGACGAATAGAAATTGAAACGAAAAAGTGAAACGTCATCTCATCGTTATATTTACTAGCTCTGTTTTCATTGTCAATTTTTACACGTTAAATTGTAAATTTGGCAGTGAATTTATTTGGCATACTTGTGATTTTTTTTTCAAAGTTTTTCCTCAAAGTCTATGTCTCTAGACTAAAATGCAAATGCTATAAAAAAATTGTTTTTTTTGTTTGTTATAGAATCGGAAAATTTGGGTAGAGGCTTTTGACGATAATGTCAGCTCCATTTGCATCAAAGTTGTTCGAAAATTCGAGCAATAATACCGATGGCTGGGAAGAATGGGACTGGGTTGACAATAACAATGTATCGAATGCGACAAAAGGTCAACAACAACAACAACCACCACCACCACAGCCGCAATTTATTCAACAGTCAACTCCGGTAGATTTTACGACCGTTCAAAATATCCAACCACAAAGAACAGTCGATAATGCTGCAAATTACTTCAATCCGGTCAGTCAATTTCCGCCACCAACAGTGGATCACCCCAAAACGCAATCACTGTCAACAAGCGGACAGTTCACTGCCTCGCAACCGAACAATAATCATATAAATAGTACTAGTGGATTTTTTCAAGATAATAACAATCCGACTCAGTTTCAGCATCAGGATTCATATGTGAATAATAATCAAAGTGCAAATAATAATTTTGTGCAATCGGCAATGCCAAACTATCAACATGTTCCGAGTTCAAATTCAATAGGTTTTATGCAAATTGAGAGTCATGAAACAACTGTGCCTCCCGTGCCACCTCGAACTCCACTGGCTGCTTATTCGCCTATTCAAAATGCACCACAAAATGCTAAAATGGAAAGTGGTGTTACAACATTTCCGAATACAGAGGTGCAAAGTCCACAAGCTCCATCGACAGAATCATTATCAAGTGCATCCAGTGTTCCGGTGTTCAGTAACAGTGTATTACCACCAGTTTTACCTCCACCATCACTGAATCAGTCACCGTTCGCAAATACTAACCCATTTAAACGAGTCGGTTCACATGCACATAGAACACCTCCTCCACCACCCATAACCGCACCATCGGTGGGTAATACCACAGCTGACATCTTCGCCAACCAGACATCATCATCACAAAGAGTTTCACATTCGCAAGAAACGAACGAGCCCATTACACATAACGACCGAAATGAGTATTTGCAAACTGGCCATTTGTCCGAAGAACATGGTGAAAACAATGTGATTGTGCCCAATACAGAGGCACAGGTGCAATACAGTTCAAGTGATGGAAATGGAGATAGTTTGCCTCCGCCAGGCTTATCTAGATTTGTGTTAGGCGAACAAGAAACGAATGAATCAAACAACATACAACCACCTCCTGGATTAGATCGTTTGGTAACTGGTACAGAAATTAACCAATCTGATATCAATTTGGAGCGCCAAGCTGATGGTCAAGATAACAATACACCGGTGCCACAAGTCATTCGGAGCAATAGTCAATTTTCAAGTGTTCAAACACCGTCAACTGTCGCGAATTTATCACAATCACTTTCAATTGAAAATCAAAGCTACGAAATCGATAGCTTTGAACCAATATCTGAATCTGATCGTAATCAGTATTTAGTAGCCGGTGAAAATGTTGTTGATAATAATACAAACGCAACTGCTCCCATTCAAAATTTATCGAACACGAACATTCAACGAGTTGTAACTGGATTGGAGAATGTGGAGAATCAAGATCATTTTTTGCCACAACGTCAACGTGAATTAGATATGGATGGTGAAAATGTCGAAGATAATCAGCAACAGCAACAGCAACAACAACAGCAACAACAACAACAACAACAGACTCAAAATCGATTTTCAAACGCAACGAATACATTGTCACAAGCAGATTCCGTGGAAGACTTAGATACATCTGGAAACTACAATCAAAAAAATCAATCGAATCCATCATCGGGTGATGACAGCGATCGTGAAAAAGCATTTTACAGTCGAAATAAAGGTCAAAACAATAAAAGAGTGGAAGAAAGACGCAAAAAACGAGTTGAATCAAGATACGAAACGGAGGACACTGACCATAGCATGCGAGAAAGACGACGCCCGAAAGAAAGCGATCGGTACGTTGAAAAGGAACGGGGACACCGTGGACGCAGTGCTGATATTGATGAAAATGATAGTCGTGCATATCGTGATCGAGGTGAAAAACCATATCGCGGAGAAAAACAATTTCGACCACCCAGCCGAGACGATGAAGACCGATTTGAAGGGCGTCATAGGTGAAACATTTATTTTAAAAGCAAAGCAATCCATTTTATTCTAGTCATCAATTTGAAAATGATAAATTCGTAATTTTTCAACAGATATGGAGAAGGACGAACGAATCGTGAGAATAGATATCGCTACGAAACGGATGGTTCACATTATGACAAAGAAGACTCGCGTCATGAGCGTAGTCGACGTCGCAATGACAGAGAAAGAGATAACTACGGCAGATACCGTGATGATAGATATTACAAATCAAAAGATTATGAGCGTGATCCGAGAGACGAAAGAGGTTCGTATTGAATTTTGATTTTGAAAAAAAAAGTAATGAATGTGCTGATTCTCTTCTTATTCTTAGAACGTTATCGACGCGACGATAGATATTCGGATTATGATAGCATGAATAAATCACGACGCAAGAAAGAACGATCCGGAAATGGAAGCGAACGTGGTGACTATCCACCAGGCTATTATCACCCGACAATGCAACAGCCATTTGGCTATGACCCATATTCAGCTTACTATCAACATCAACAATATTATGAAAATTTACGACGTACAAATCCGATTGCTTATGCTGAATGGTATAATCACTTAAATTAATTATTTATTGATTGTTTTACGATTATTTTAAATTAATTCGATTCTTTTCTTTTGCAATTCTCCCCTTAGGTATAACCTCTATTTTGCTAACCAATTGCCAACAGCCGCTTCATTGGCCGCTTCAGTTGCTACCGCTGTGAGTGATCGTGGTAGAGAATCCGGTCGAGAATCGGTGCATTCTGGCCGAAGCTCATCAAAGGATAACGACAGGTAAATACCAAAAATTCAAACCGCAGAACTTTGAATTCATTCCGTGATCCGAACGAGTTCGGACTTAGTTCCAACTAAGCTTATAATGATTCAAAAAGTTCGAAAGAAAAATGTTTTTGTTCAAATGTGTTTTGATTTCATCTGTTGGTTTTTGATTGTGTGAATTTGATATTTGATTTGTGAACATGTTAAATTGCATCTTTATCCTTTTATTATTTGTGTGCAAGATAGTGGCATTTTTATTTTATATCTATTCATTCGCTTCATTTCTTTCAGCAGCCATTTATCGTTCGTATAATTTTAAATCATTTTCCATTTCTATAAAAAAAGATGTTGTTTTTCTGTTGTTAATTCATTCAATTGAAAAATGCTTCAATTGATGCAATCTGCGCTTTTGCGTTTAACTCATCTCATAAAAACCTCATAATATTAAAATCACACCACAAAATTTTACACACAAAACAAAATCTATATTTGAAAAAAGCAGTTTAGTAAGTTTAGGGAATCACTCTCAATAGCATAAACTCCAAATCAATCGAATATCGCAGGTATATGTTGTCGGCAACGCACAGTTTTTATCATTCGTACGGTGCGAATCAAATGCATTCTCATGCCCAGCAGTTGTCACATAATCAGTTTAGTAATCATCATAATTCAACAATGTTGGACAACGCGTTGACAATATCGCACCACAGCCATCAACAGTATTATGCATCTAGTGATATTGGTTCACGTTCGCCTTTTCCACATAAATTGTAAGCTCATTTATCCTGCTCATGTTCTTATACATGCCATTGAAGCAAACAATGGAATACAATGTCTTTGGCGTTGTGTTGCTCGCAAGCGCACATTCTTAAGACAATTGTATTTCACATAACCAACATGGCACTATAATTGTCTTCACAGACGAAACTAAACGTATTTTCTTTGTAACAAAATAATAATAATATTGTATCTGTTATCATTGTTATTTACTTTACCTATACCACTGGAAAAACTATAATTAAAAATTATAACGATTGTTTTTTATTTTCATAAATATATACATAGCTTCATGAATGAATGTTATATTTATGATCCACTCAATAATACTGAAATTTTATTAACACTAGACTTGATGTGACATTTGATTCGAATATTTATTTGCTTTGGCCTGATTTGTTAGAACGTGTACACTACATACAAAATGTACATGAGAAATTCCCGCAACATTTTCACTTTCATTTAAAAAAAATACCTTCTTAAATCTGATTGGCTTCCAAAATGTGTTTTTCATTGCAAAAAAATGCATATCTTATTAAATGTTACAGAGATACGATTTGTGTAAGAAGTAAATGTATTGTATGTTTTGTTTGTTTTAGTCAGTATGTAGTAGAAAAGTATTTCACTAGATTAACTCGGCACCGATTTTTTGTTTGTTTTCGATCGCATGTAGTTTTATACCCTAATTTTGTTTTCTACCCCATTGTGAGCATTATTTTACTTGCTCCGCATATTCTAATATAAATTTCATTTGCAACAGAACTCAACAAAAAATAATCTCTATGGATGGAGCTCAAACGTCGATGGAACCAGAAAGATTGACCCCTATGAAATTCACGTCAACTCACAGCTCAGCCTCCTTCCAGAATGGACTATTGGTTTGTGTCAAGCAAAAATATTTGCCAACGAATGAGATCCAAAATAATGTACATCTCTTGAAATTTGGTAAGTTCTCATTATAAAAATGAAAATATTTCCTTTCCATTCTGTCAATTAATTATGCCTTCCTCTTTTATTAACAGCACTCAATAATCAGACGAAGCGTTTGTATCAAACGTTCCCTGGCCCATTGACCCCAGTCACACACACCAAACAAGTAATTGACTTTTGCTTGGACCAAATTCGTAACGGACCCAATATTTCCAGTTTAAACTCACGTTCAACTAGCAATTCAATGTCCAGCTTGCAATCGGTAGATCCATCGAGTCGTGCTTCGTTTGTATTGTTGTGGAATTTTCTCATTTTATTATTGCGACAACGTGGTGTTTTCGTTGGCTCAGACATTGCTGAATTACTATTGAAAAACAAAGAGGAATTCCCATATGAGCAACAACAATTGAATAGCACAAAATTATCAGTTGCACAGAAAGATAGCGGTGAACCATTGTCTGATGTTGAATCGAAAGATGAAAGTAACGATGCCTTTTCCAACGATAGCGAACAAACGAGTCTCAGTGAAAAAGAAGTAACTGAAAAGTTTCGTGAATTTTTATTATATGGCAGTATAAATGAAGCTCTCGAATGGGCAACCGAAAACAATTTATGGGGTCACGCATTGTTCTTAGCATCAAAAATGGATCGTCGATCGCATGCAAATGTTATGATTAAGTTTGCTAATAAATTACCACTAGCCGATCCCCTTCAAACCCTTTATCAGCTAAAAAGTGGAAGAGTTCCACTTTCAGTAACGGTAAGCCGACACAACTCGTATAAGCGATTTCGATCTCATTCAATTATTTGTTATTCATTTACAGAGTACACAGGATGAAAAATGGGGAGATTGGCGTCCACATCTTGCTATGATTATATCGAATCCATCACAATCAAATACTGAACTAGATCGCAAAGCGATCCTAACAATGGGAGATACACTTCACAATCGTGGTGATCTTTTTGCTGCCCAATTCTGCTATCTAATGGCCAAAATAGAATTTTCAAATTATTCGGATGTCAAACATGATGCGTCGGTGATCTTAAATAGTACCACCAATGCAGTGAGATTGGTACTTCTTGGTGCTTCGTGTTATAAATCTTCGTTCGGTGAATTTGCCACAGACGAAGCAATTATCATGACTGAAATCTATGAATACGCTTGCACATTGGCCAATAGCCAATATTCGATTGTCGAATTTCAACCGTATAAATTTCTATTTGGCACACGTATGCTTGACTATGGATTTCATTTAAAATCACTTTTATACATGGAACAGGTGGCACACCACATACAAAAGAATCCACATCAATATGAGCGTTCGTTTATCGAAAAAGTATACAGTATGGCCGATAAGTTGAAGTATTATGATCCAGTCATGGAAAAAAATTTAGATGGTTTAAATGAAGACGAAAATGGTGGCCAATTGCAGTGGCAATCAGATTTATTGAATATATTGGGTCAAGTGAGTATAGATAATGTTATTTTAATTTATGTTATAATAAAAATTATGATGATGTTACTTTTATTTCATAGACCCCGATCGCATCGAATAATGAAATGCATATGAATCTGCAGCCACCTCCAGTGACAAACAACGCAAGCGAAATTGATCACGAATTTTCGCAAATCAATCAACAATTTCAAAATTTAAATTTGCAATATCAAAACTCTACATATGAATATAGCAACGTGGGAACTGAAGCATCGCCGCTCCAACCAAATGACGTGAATACAGTTCCGAATTATATAGATCCAGCCAATCATTATAATAAAGCAAGTTCATATGAACCACAACAACCAACTGATTTCTATGGACAACAACAACAGCAACATGCACCACCACCACAACAACAACAACAACAACAACAACAGCCGCAGCAGCAACAACAACAACATGAATTCTCTGGAAGTAATGCAAGTGGTTATCCAGATCAACAAGCACAACAAATATACCAGCCACATACTTACAACGATCAATTCGCTTATGGACCATCAAGCTATGGAGCTAGTGAGGTAAATTTAATATTTACACATTTTTCTTCGAATATGTTGTTCTGTTTTGCCACAAAGTTTGTTTAAAAACTATTTCCGATTTTAACTTTGACTTTATAAAGTTTATTTTCTAAGTCTTTCCTATTTACAATTATATATATTTTATCCCGTTTTTTTAAAATTAACTAACAACTGAAAATTTAATTTTGTACATATCCTTTTCAACTCATTCGTATGAATTTCGTCCATGATCCATTCTTCGCGCTGAACAATCTTGGTGCGCTTCCACAAACACATACACGCACGCAAAAACACAAAATAATCACACACATACAAAAAAAAAAAAAACAATTATATTTGCCTTGCGTATGTATCGATTGATGCACGATAAATTAAAAACTGAAAAAAACATTCAATAACGTTCATATACAGGCGAACCATGAACGAAATGTATATGAATCGAACAAAAGTCAAAGTCACTTTGACATCACAACGGGACTACAGTCGTCACATAATGCACTGCTAAATCGGCTGTCTGAACAGGAAGATGAAGACGATGACGGAGACTATGATGATGATGTAGAAGAGGGTTATGACGATGATTTATTGGACAACGTAAGTAAAAATACGACGTCATCTACCTTTACGTGTTACTCGGGTCTGGGTGAATCAAAACTCAAAGCTTATTCGTGTGCCACTGATGCTTCAACGATTCATAGCGACTTGTTGCGAAAACGAAATATCGCAACAAGAGCCACTACTAAAACTTATACTAAATCGAAGTGTGTTCAATTTATGCCGTCACCTAAACGACATTCAACTAATACACATTCGCCTGCCAAATTGAACGTACATTCGAGGCCATTAAAGAAGATCGTTTTTAATGGAACATTTCCGATTGATGATCCATACTCAAGTCGATTCGAATCCATGAAATAGATCAATGCGCTTATTTTAATCTCAATCAAAAATCATGATCTGGTTTGTTTTGTGTATATTTTAACATAGTTATTTCTTTTTGTAAATCATTTGTTTGTGTTTTTGTAAATCTTTTTTTTATATTGGCGTAGCATCCATCTATTCCGATGTAAGATGTAGTTAATTAAGTGGATCTCATTCAATTAAAGAGCCTATGATAATAAGCACTTTGTTATGCTCTACCGTATCTCTATGTTTCAAATGCAAAATTCAATTCAATCACACATTTTCACAGTATTTAAGGAATGAGCATTTCCTCTATTTGACATTATGTTTGCATTCTACAGCAAACGATAGAGAAACTGTAACTAGATATTTGTAAATGAATTTCTTTGAATAAATCAAAGGGAAATTAATCACTAAAACGAAACATTGGTATTTTTTACAATTTTTTCCAACTCAACGACCCATCTTCTTCTGTTTCGAATCTTATTTATGCCAATTTTGGCGAACATATTATTTACTTCGGTTTCTTAATTTTGTGTGTTTTTTTGTTGTTGTTTTTGTGTTTTTTTTTGCGTGTTAGTTTGTGTTTTAGCGCTACTTCTCCTTAGGATCTACGTGGTTTTTATGTTGTTTTGTTTGATTTTTTTTTTTAAATAGGAATACGTTTAATTTTCGTTGTTATACATAATTTCCAATGATTTTCTAAATGTTTCGATGGGAAAATTCTTGAGATTTGTCCAAGGCTGACTTTCATTTCATCATCTTATTAAATTGCTTTTATTAGGTACCGAAGCCAACTATTTCAATGCCAAACTCACTGTCAAACAAGCCGGGTTTCTATGATGATGCCGATTCAAGTGTAACTAATAATCAAAATGGTTCTGAAAACAAAACTCAAGATCCAAATAAATCTGCGTCGGATAATAAGAAAAAACCAACACCAAATGGAACGAATGACAATGCAAAAAGGTTTGCAGGAAATGAAATTTAAATTCAATTACCGATATTCAATGTTTAACATTTCATTTTATATCAATTTCACAGTGGTTGGATTGGTGGAATCTTCAATAAACTTTCGTTCAAGCCGAAAAATCAAATGATATTGCCAGATGATAAGAATCCAAGTGTAAGTAAATAGTATTCAAAAACGATGAACAGATAAATTTAAATTTAAAAAAAAACCCACCAACAACGTTTTACAGATAATTTGGGACGAACAGAATAAGAAATGGATTAACAAAGATCATGACGAAGATGAAAAAGAATCCTTTAAACCACCACCAAAATTGACCGAACTACCTGCAATGGCACACATGCCAACTGACTCGAGTAATATTCCAAACATTCCAGCTGCTGAACCAATGAATTCAATGCAATCATACGGCAATCCACCGATGCCAATATTGAATAATCAAGACATGAATCCACCAATGAACAGTAACAATGATGCGACAGCAGCCTCTAGTGTACCTAGTCTCCAGTCAAACATGTTCAAAATGCAAAGAAACAAAAGTAATATTTTCACTAAGTCTTTGTCAATTTGCCTTTTCAACAGTTAGTTTAATTCATTTCAATTTTTTTTGGATTTATACAGCTCTTAAAAAGTCATATGTCGATGTATTTAATCCATCCGGAGCTGCTCCAAGAAATGATGCTCCAATTTTAGCGCCCATGATGCCAACATTACCATCGCAACAAAATTTCTTTGTTCCGGCTGCAGTTCCAAACTCCAACCAACAAAACGTAAGCCATTTTAAACTCGGATATTTTATTTTCATTTGATTTTCATTACAAACAATCTAATAACATGAAATGAAAGTGGTTTTAAACAAAAACAAGAACATGTATGAATAAAATCAAACAGAAATATTCATAGTAATAGAATAATTAAATTGGTAACAAACTAAATCGGCAATAATTCTTCGGCATCGAAATCTTCATCCGATTCTTCTTTGACCGATGCCGAATTTCGAATCTTGCCGGTTCGTGGTCTTTCAGCCATCGGCCCCAATGGATCAGCATATGATAAATTGGAGGTATCGTTATCGTTTTTATCGGAATTACTGCTTGGTGTAGAGCTCGAATGCATATTTTCAACACTGCTACCGACTCCCGCATATTTTTCACTCCCACGACGATTTCGTTGTGAGCTGTTTGTCGTTGGTCGACTACTACCGATTCGTTGCCTTGTTTCGCGTAACTTTTCAATGCGATGATATTCATTGTAGTATTTTTGATACAATTCATCCATATTGAGTGTCTGTGTTAGATGTAACAATGCTTTGTAACAGTCAGCATTCTCGGGAAATTGCTTGAGAATATCTACGAAGATAAAAAGATTATTTTTTTTTGTGAATTATTTTTGATTTGTATGAACAAATGAGTTTTATAAAAAAGATAAATCAATTATTCTCACTTTGAAATAAGTTGAGTGACTTTTGAGAGTTGCCAATGCGTCGAAGGCAGCCAGCGATTCGTAGTAGAAAATGTGGACTGTTTGGAGTGGCTAAAACAGCTTTTTCATAGTAGGCAATTGCATTTTCGGCCACTTGAAGATCAATAAAATGGGATCCAATCCAGGATATGGTTTGCAAATTGCATGGAAATGCCTGATACGCTTCATTTTGGTATTGAAACGCAGTTTGTCGATCGCCATCCGTTTCGTACATGGTGGCTATTTTCTGAAATACACTTGGATCGGTGTTAACCAAACCAAGTAACTGAGTATACCATTCGATTGCACCGCTAGTATCGTTTAATAATTCGTACAGATTCCCCATCTGATAAATAACGTGCGGATGATGATTGTTTGAAACGGTTGCATAAATCTTGCGAAAACAATTTAAAGCGTTTTCAAAATCACCGATTTTCTTGTAGGTCAGTCCCAAATTATATAATGCTTCGAACGCAGTTGGATCAATTTCCAAAGCCATTTCAAAATACTTCCGAGCTGATTCATAGTTCTCACGAATAAATTCACACGTGCCACTGTTTACGAATCCCGCCGGATTATATGAATCAACTTCACGTGAAATTTCTGCATATTTCAATGCATTTGTCATGTCTTTCATTTTAATATAAATAAATGTCAAACTGGTTACGGCATTAGCTGCAATGGCCGGCTCTTTTTTCTCGTAGTACTTCAGTGTTTCGATAGCTTGATGTACGTCGTGTTGTTTTAAATACATAATCGCTTTGTTCAATTCCAATTCATTGGCAAGAACGGCAAAATTGGAACTTTTTATCATTTCCACACAATACGTGAAACCGTCATTAAAATTTTCCTCAATTATGCCCGCTATCAGGTTGGCGGTCATTAGGACATTTTTTTTGGCCAAATTTTTTTGACGATTTTCGTAAATTGCAAGCTTATCATTCTTCATGAAATCGATCACATACTGCTGTGATGGGTTTGACATTAAGCTTGAAATCCTATGGTCATCGTTCATATCAATCGGAACGTCAAGCAAATGCTGAAATCCTCGTTTCATTTTCTCAACATCGCCCAATGCATAATAGCACAATATTAAATGCAGTCCACTTTTTAAATCTGCACGCTCCGACATAATAAACTCAAAACTTGCAGCTGCATCAGAATATTGTCCCATTTTTATAAACAAAATTCCTACAGAAACATGAAATAATATTGTAATTTCACCATTTCGCATCGATTGATTATATAATTGTAATTACATTTACCTATATTATGGCTTATCTTTAGGCGTAACTCTTTTTGGTTGCTTGGCACCTGATCCAAGGCCATGCGATACATTTTAATTGCTTTTGAAAAGTGGCCCAATTGAAAGTATATGTTTCCCATATTAATTTTCAAACGATTCACATTTGGAAACATTTTATTTTTTGTCATCATTGCATATGTGTTTAATGCTTCGACATACATTTTACTTTTGGCATAAATATTGGCCAAATTGAACAAAACAGCGAACGTTATGTCAAAATTGTGATATGAACTATCGCCATTCTGGTCCCGTAACCGTAGCAATGTTCGATCAAGAGAAGATGCTTCTTTCGCCTTATTCAAAGCAGATGATAAATTTGGTTCTTTCGCCGAAGTACTCTCAAGAATGGACTCTTCGAGAATATATAAAATTTTCGTCTCTAAACCTTTATACTTTTCTTCGGGTTGTTCGGGTCTCTTTACGTCCAACGAAATAGTTTTCTTCATTGCTTGACGTTGATTTAAAAATGGGTCATATTGCCGACCGGCCTCCGATGTATATCCAACCGGACGCATTCCAGTCGTTGGCCGAGCTAATGTACTCGTTGATAATGCCGTCGTTGCTTCACGACTTAATAATTTCGGTGTATTTCTCTTTCTACCATAGCTAGACAATTTTTGTGTGTCTTCGTAATCGATATCACTTCTACTCATTTCAAAATTTTGCATAAAATTTGTCTGAAACCCGTTATATAGATCGTCATCCATGATGAAGATCGAAATTATATTCAAACCAAACCGAAAAAAACTTCTCTAAAAAACTATTGGATTAACTTGAAAAATAAAACGATATTACTAACACCAAAATGAAAAATATCCACTGTTCAAATACATTCTTTTTCAATCATATTGTTTGTATCATTTAGTTACTAAGCAACCGAAAAACACAAGCCAAACCATATTCACAACATAAAAACAACACATTTATGAATGTTGAACATGTTTTTTTCATTCGGACATACAACCTTTTTTTTAAATATATTTACAGCAAGACGACCAGCCAGCATTTTACAACCCAAATCAATATGGAGGATATCCGCAACAGTAAACAAAAGTTTTAACATTGAAAATAAAACGTGAATAACAAAAATTAATCCGAATCTGGTATTCATTCGATTTTCGAATTGTATAATTATTATGTTTTTTTGTGAAATTTTGTTTCCCCGTTTTCGTAAGCTGATAATAATTAAATACCTACATTCAACGTTAATAAATAGATTGCCGTATGGAAATGAAACAGATTTAAGTAGCTAATTTGAAAAATAATAAACAGAAATAAATATATAGACAAGAAATTAGACAATTTTTCTTTGCAATTTGTACATAGTAATAGTCATTGATTTGAATTGTATTGATGACTTCCACTTGTGATCTTCTGTTCACCCTTATTATTATTTTGTTTATTTGGCGAAAACGAAGTATTTAAATTCAAAATTAATACAATTTCATATTTAAACTAAGATTTAAGTTAGAACAGAGAATTTATCGAATTTTTTTTTTTTTTTTCAAATCATATTTTGTTATTTATTATGTTTAGGAACAAAGTTCTTGAATTCATTTTATTTGTATTTCTAATAATTTTCTGCAACTGTGCATTCAAAATAGGGGGTTTAATCGATGCATCACTTCCTCTTTTTTGAAATTAGATTATTCGATTATTGTGAAAGTAGAGAAAAAAAAATATATAAATTAAAAAATGGAAATTATAAATATTGCAGCATTTTTTCTTTCTTAAATCTTTCTAAAAGCTTTGCTATTTGGACCATATCATAACAATAGAGAAACAAAGGTAATTCATCTCTTTTCTTTTTCTCTTAACTTCAGAATAGCCTTTCACTTCAATATGAAAATTAACGAATGTAAGCAAAGGAAACTATTTTGTTGCACACATGGAAATGGCATAAAACATCATTGAAATTCGATTTTTGTTCATTTCAATTGGGGTTTGTGTTTGCATTTCTACTGATTTATTATTCAATACAACGATTGACATGGAATCATGAAAAAACCTTTTACCTGGAGTTTATTGAACTGAGCGCGCTACGTAGCGGCGCTTATTCGAATCACATTAAACATGTCAGAGAAGCGCTGCTGAGTTTGTCTCTATTGACGCTATTGAATACTGTATTAATGAGATGGCATATTTTTCAACACTTTTTCAAATCATTTCATTTTCGATTTATATTGATGGAATTAAAGATAAAAAATTAAAAATATATTATTTATTCGTAAGATTTCATGGCTAAAGCATGATTGAAAAAGGCCCATTCAAGCCTATTGGCTACACTTCATATGTGAACCATATGTGTGCTGAGAAGAATGTAAGCCTAATGTGTGCGTGTGTGAGTGTGTGTAAGTCAAAAGTATTATAAAGTGTTCCTTTAATCGAGGCGGTCGACTTTGAAGACAGAGCAAGAAAATATGGCTACCACATAAACGTTGTATACACACAAAACGCAAGAAGAGAAACAAGTCCAATAAAAAGCGAAGAAAAAAAAATCAGAACAATTCTTTGAATATTGAGTGTAAATCACATAAAAATTGTAACATTTGGCACATTTCTGAGCAATTTTTTGTTTGAATAGTATCGAAGAAATACAGAAATAATAGTTTTCCCAGTTTTCTGGGGTCCAAGAATCGGAAAAGAAAAAGTGAAGCGAACTGATTCGATGATATTAATGTGTTTGTATTGTTTGAAGTGCGCGATTGTGTACACAAAGATTTCACCAAATTATTGAAAACAATATTTGATTATTCATATTTTGTTCGTGTTTGTATTTCTTGTAAATTGTGAAGCAGAATAATAAAAAAAAAAAATAATTAACAAAAAGTGAAGCGAATAGAGATTTAAGAAAAAGACAATGTTCATATAGAACTTGGTTATTTTTGTTGTGGACAGTTTATTTTAATACACAAGTTATTTTCGAATAACTTATCTATGAACGTATAGCGAGCCAAACGTTACATTGTATTGCATTGCCATTGGAAAACATTGAAAAGTGTCGAAACAGCAAAATACAACACGTTACATACGAATGCAAACAAAATAGAATATCGCTTTGTTAGTATTACCGTCAATTGAATGATAATATTTATATTATCATTTTGCTGAATCTTTTTATGGTAAGCATTTATCCTTTGATACTATCACAGGGATATGACATTTTTATCGCAGTTTGTACACAACAAGCGACGAATAATCGATTAAATGTGTGTTTTCGATTCTTCTTCCGTATGTTGATTCAGTATAATACAGATAGAGACGAATTGTATGGAACAAGAATAACTAAATATGAACGAACGTCGACAACGACAACGACGATATAACGCTGCATGTGCGCATATTTCAAAACAAAAAAATAAATAAATAAATGAATTGGTTGTGTGACTTCGTAATTCGTTTGATGTGTGGCCAAACGCAATTCAGTGTTTATTAGTATTACGATTGTTACAATACTGCAGAAAAATAAGTGTAAGCTAGCAGTTATCGCAATACATATACAACAATTGACATAGTTTTCCAATTCATGATTTACCGACTGCCGTCATCGTCGTCGTTGTCGTTGCTGTTGTTGCTTCATTTTATTTTGCATCCGAACCTTTGCAATATAATATATTCAAATCAATACTTCACCACAAATAAATACCTAGTTTTGTCACGTATTATTTGTATGCTTTTTCCGCTTCGTTCTAATATCGATTTGTTTGTAAACATTAACCAACACCAAATGATATACCACTTACATAATACATTGATTCTATCTTTGGATATATAAATATAATCGCAATCGGTTTTTCGTTAATTTCATTTCAGAATTGGGTATTTCACACGATGATTGGACAAACATTACAATGAGAATAGATTATGCGAAGAAAAATGTCATAATTCATATGATTTAATGTACTGTAACCTTAAAAAACGAAACAATTCAATTCTAACTGTTTAAAAAAAAAATAAATCAATAAAGTGAAAAATGTCGCGACGAATGGCAAATGAATTTAAGCCACAAATGGAAGGCAACGCTGGACCACAGCCAAAGAAACGAAGAAAAGCAAATGCGAATGCGGCAAATGCAAATGCCGGAAATAATACAGCAAGTAAGTTATTTTGATTGAGAAAATATTTGTGTAGAAATGCTCAAAATTCTCTTGGAATGCCTGTAGATACGCCACCAACGACAAATACAAATCAAAATAATACACCGCCAATCGGAATTCCACCACAAGATCTTGCACCTCCGCCACCAATCAGCACGTTTGGGGATACAATTGTAGCGTCAAATCCATTCGATGACACACCACCGAGTGGTAAATTGAGATTTTGTTTTGTTTTTTTGTTTAAAATGACATGTTGTTTGTATGTTTTATTTTAAATTTAAACATTTCTTTCGGAAGTGTATCAAAATGGAATGATGAGTCATATACCTCCACATCCACATCATGCAATGCGTAATGATCCAAATCAATACATGCAACCACCCCATTATCCAAATGCTCACCCAATGCAGACACCACCACAAAGAAATATGATGAATCCATCAATGGAACCCGGTTATCAAATGAACAATCAACAACCTCCGCATGTTCAAATGATGCATCCAAGTGAGTTGCAACCGATTTTATTCTATCGACTTTATTCAAAACGTCAGAAGAAAAATTAGATAACAATTATATCGTTCCTTTTATCAGGAAATGGTTCACATCCGCCACCAATGCATATGCACGGTGGACCAATGGTTCCGCATGGAAACATGCAAATGAATGGATCGTCTGCACTACGAAGCATACATCAAATGTAAGACAATGCCCAAAGCTTGTGTTAAATGCATTGAATATTCACTTTATAAACATACATTTATTTCTTTAGGAATAGTTCATTTGGATTAGGCAATCATATGGATGGACCTATGCACAATAATCGAGGAATGATGATGCCCGGAAATGGCATGAATCCAGTTGGTATGAATGCCATGAATGCGAATACGAATTCCAATATGTCTTCCATGACTCCATTGGGGCAGCTGGCTCAAATGAACAATACACCAAATTCGCATCTAAACAACATGAATTCGCCAAACGGTTCAAGAATGGGCAGTTCCAGTCCGAGCTTAGCTGTTAACTCACCGAATATGGGACTTAATGGAAACCGTGTACACCAACCAGGTACATAGAGCATTTGGGAGTACAGAATTGATTTATAAGCTCTTCTATAATTGGTATTTTGTATTTGAAAAAAAATATATAGGCAGCTCAAGTCCACATCTTGGTATGAACTCACCGAATCTAGCTCAAAATCCAGGAGCTCGTTTAGGAAATAGTCCGCTGAATAATTTAAACGCTATGAATAGTATGAACGCACCATCAATGGGAAGTCCAATCAATCAGAATCCACATGTTATAAAAAATAATGGTCAAATGTGTCCACCCCTAAATAATCTAAATAGTCTAAATGGCCCACTTGGCAATGGT